AAAAAAGTGGGCTATATGAGCTAAACAAATTTGTAACCCATGGAACACTCACTCTGAAGACACACTTGGCGTGACTGTGGTAGAAACAGTAGGATAATGACTTAAATTTCTCTGGTTCTTAATTTGTTCTTATTGCAAAAGATTACAAAGAGCAGAATCCAAGCCTTCAAAAGGTGGTCCATTGTTATGAATTCTTTGTTAAAACTCTGTTCAAGTGAACAACTGCAAACAAGTCTGGTTTCAATGAAGTCCATCAACCTGCTGATACTCAATGGCAAGAAAAACATGAGGAGACAGATCACTTGGCTAAGTGCTGGAGGCCAGTGTGTCTGTAGAAAGGTGTTCCACTAACAGTCTGTCTCACTGTGAAGATGGCAAGAAAAGATAAAACTGGGGACAGGAGTTTGGAAAAGGCACCTGAATAAGTAGAATTTCTCCCTACAACAACTGAGAAGCTTTCATCAACCGAAGAAATTTGATTTTGCAACAGCAGACAGGGAATTCTCATCACCAGCTCGTGTTCTGAAGACATAATTGCTCAGTACAATTCAATAGACAACGAAACCTCCAGCACCAAAATGATCTTTCCTGCTTCTGAGCCAAGACCTACCCTGATTTCCAGGCCACTAGAGCTTCAGGTTCAAATATTCAGCCTCATTTTTAAACTTGCTTTGCTCCTCCAGTGAGGCTAGGTAACTGCACCTCCTCCACAATAACACTCAACACTAAAACCCAACAAGGATGCATCCTCAGCCCCCTACATCTATGACTGTGTTGCCAAATTCTGAACGAACGCCATCTACAAGTTCGCTGACAACACCACTGTAATGGGATGGATATTCAACAATGACGAGTCAAACTTCAGAAGGGAAATACAGGGCTTGGTAATGTAGTGCAATGAAAACGATCTGTCTGTCAGCTTCGGCAAAACTGAAGAACTGATCATTGACTTCAGAAAGAAGGGAGGAGGACACATCCCCATCCCTAGTGAAACTGAGGTTCACAGGGTGAACAGCATCAAGTTCCATGCAGTGATGATAATCAATGACTTATCCTGGGCTTTCCACATAAGTGCAACAGTCAAGCAGCCACAACAACACCTCTTCTTCCTCAGGTGGCTCAGGAAATTTGGTATGTCCATAAGGTCCCTCACCAACTTTTACAAATACACCATTGAAAGCATGCTGTCCGGGTGCATAACGGCCTGGTACGACAACTGCTCTGCACAGGACCATAAAAATCTACAGAAGCTGGTGTGCACAGCCCAGACCAACATGGAAGCCAGCCATCCATGGACTCCATTTATACAGCTCGCTACTGCGGAAAGCCTGCCAACATCATCAATGACCCATCGCACCCCGGTAATCCTCTCCTACAACCTCTTCCATCAGACAGAAGATACAGAAGCCTGAACACACACACCAGCAGGTTCAGAAACAGCTTCTTCCTGGCCGTTATCAGACTGATGAATAGACTCTCCAGCCTCAAATAACGCTGATCTTGCTAACATTGATCTCGCCTACCACATGCCCTAGTAATGTAACCTGTATGCCCCTAAGTCTTTTTGATCTGTACATCCTTTACTTACTATGATCTGCCTGTACTGCGCGGAAACAAAGCTTTTCACTGTATTTCTGTACATGCGGCACAGTGGTTAGCACTGCTGCCTCACAACACCAGGGACATGGGTTTGATTCCACCCTCAGGCGACTGTCTGTGTGGAGTTTGCACATTCTCCCCATGTCTGTTGTCTGTTTCCTCCCACAGTCCAAAGATGTGCAGGCTAGGTGGATTTGCCATGCTAAATTGCCCATAGTGTCCAGGGATGCGTAGGTTAGGTGGGTTTATAGGGGGAATGCTCTGAGGTTCAGTGTGGGCTGTTGGGCCAAAGGGCCTGTTTCCACACTGTAGGGATTCTATGAAATCAATCCCTGCTGTTACTACCTTCCAAAATGTGTGCACTCCTCCAAAACTGGCATCTTATACATTTCAACATTTCCTTTGTCCATCCACTGGCAATCACTTCTTTCTAGGCCCCAAAGCTCTGGACGTTCCAAGCATCCCACCCCCCACCAACCCACCCCCCCATATACATTGGCTGATATTTACATGCAGGATTTTCAGAACTATGTTTATTCAGTTCTCAGAACTTCAGACAGACAAGTGGATTCCCACAAGCAAATCTCTGCCTATCACCATGGAGAGGGTTATCTCACAGCAACCTATTCATGGCAGAGAATTCACTGGGGCAGCAGAAATCAAACAGACTCCATTCTATCGGAATTTCTGAAGAAGGGTCACTGAACCCGAAATGGAGCTTTCACTCTGGAGATGCTGCCAGACCTGCTGAGTGTTTTCCAGCAATTTCCTTTTCTATTTCCGATTTCCAGCCAGTGGTTTGTTTTCAATTCTATCAGATCTTGATAAATTGAATGTTCTAGCTAATCTATCCAAGTGTGTTTCTTGTAGAGACATGTTGTCAGAAAGTTGGGTTTTGCCGCTCTCTTGGAGGCTGAGTGATATACATGATATATATATTCCAGTCTGCCAATTGAACAGGACCCGAGCATTGATCTCTTAAGAGTATTAGAGCAATTACAGCATGGAGAGAGGGGCCCGTTGTGTCTATGCTGGTCATCAAACATCCATCTATTCTAATCCCATTTTCCAGCATTCGGTCCTTGAATGCTATGACATTTCATGTGTTATTCTAAATACTTATTAAAATGTTGAAAGTTCTTGCCTCTTTTAGCTAGTGAGTTCCAGATACCCATAACGCTCTGAGTGAAAAAAGGTCTTCCTCAAATCCCTTCGAGGCCTCCTGCTCCTGCTGTTAAAACTCTGCCTCCAGTTATTGACCCCTCTACTAAAGGGGAAAAGTATTCCTCAATCTACCCTATGCCCCTCAGAACTTTGTACACCTCAACCGGATCCCCCTCACGCTTCCCTATTCAAAGGGAAGCAACCCCAATCTCTCTTCAGAACTGAACCATTCCAACATCCTGGTGATTCTCCTCTGCACCCTCTCTAGTGCAATCACATCCGTCCTATAGTGTGGTGACCAACGCTGCACATTGTACACCAGCTGTGGTCTAACCATTGCTGGTCCATCATAACCATCTTGCTCGGGTATTCAGTGACTGACTCAAAGCCCATATGCCTTCCTAACCACCTTATCTACCTGTTGTGCTGCTTTCTAGAATCTACAGACATGCACACTAAGCTCCCTCTGATCCACTGTACTGCCTAGGGTCCTACCAGTGTCTGGATACCCTCTTGTTAGTCCTCCCAAATCCATCACCTCACACTTTAACATTAAGCATATCACCATTGTTTATTGGTTCAGTGGCATGAAGCCATTTTGATGTTGTTAAAGATGAGCTAGTTTGTACTCGGTAGTTCCAGAAACTAAACTCAATCTGGGTCACCGCTCATCTGCCCAGTTGTGCACACTGCATCTCAGGAAGGAAATATTGACCTTGAAAGAAGTGCAGCATTACTCGGGTGGATCTACGGATTCACCTAAAGGGATTATATATCAAGGACAGATGGCAAATTTTAAGCTTGTAATTCCCAAAGTATACAAAGTTTAGTGTACCCTCGTGATTGAGGCACTGGACTCGGGCAGTGTCATTCCTTTCCTTGCTGAAGCCTGTGAATTCTGGGCTCTTTCCAAGGATATGGGTTCTAATCTCACTCCTGACATTCACCTTTAGGGCCATTGTGGTACAGTGCATCTGAGTCTAAAGTCTCGGGTTCAAGTCCCACCTGCTGGTGAAGGTGCATTAGAACACAGCTAATGTGGGCTTTAACTAACTTAAAGGATGGATCTGGTAGATGGAGGAGTTTATTCCTGGTGGGTCCACACCACTTCTTCACAAAAAGAGTATTGGAAATCTGCAACTCTTCCCCAGTTGAGGCTGATGGTCAATAAAAAGACGTGAAAAGGAGATGGATAAGCGTAGAGTTATGCAACTAAAGCAGGTCAATCAAGATATGATAAAGATCAACCATCATCTAACTGAATGGCAGGATGGTCATGGTGGACTGAATGGCCTCCTCCTGTTCCTGTGACACATTCTTAGGATGATTCACATATGTTGTCTCCATTGGCATAATATGATGTTCACACTATCTATCTGTAAAAACACATCTCCTTCGCTTAACTGAGAGAAGTCCATGCATGTTGTGCAGTGCTGAGGTCCAGACTTGACATGCTGCAGGTTAACAGTGATAAGAATAGGCTGGGACTTAGTTTTACTGAAGCGTAGGAGGTTGAGGGATGACTTTATAGAGGTTTATAGAATCATGAGGGGCATAGACAAGGTGAATGGCAGGTGTCTTTTCCCTAGGGTGGGGGGCTTTCAAAACTAGGGGGCCTATTTTAATGTGAGAGGTGAAAGATTTAAAAAAAAAGGGGCTTTTTTTTTAAAAACAGAGTAGTTCTTGTGTGGAATGAACTTCTAGAGGAAGTGGTCGATGCAGGTACAGTTACAACGTTTGAAAGACATTTGGATCAGTACATGAATGAGAAATGTTTGGAAGGATATCAGCTAAGTGCAGGCAGGTGGAACTAGTTTAGTTTGGGATTATGGTTGGTGTGGACTAGTTGGACTGAAGGGTCTGTTTCTGTGCTGTATGGCTCTATAAAAGCTTATTTGCTGTATCTGCACACACTCCCAGCAGAAAGTGCGAGGTAGTCTCTAACCTCTTGTCTAGTTTGGACCACCCTAGTCACTGGGGCATTGGAAAGCATCTCAGTCCCTGTGACTGTTTACTCCCCAGTATCCCACAGCTGTGCTATAAACGGGAAAGAACTGTCTCATTGTAAACTGGGTCAGTGACGGTGTTTGTACTGGCGCTTGTTGTTTGCTGTACAGTTTTGTAATCAGAAGAAATTTGTCATAACAAATGTGAAACCTTGACAGATTTCTCAGCCATTCTGACCATATGTGTAACTTTACACAGATATCAATTTGGCAAGGTAGAGCTGCACTCACCTTAAACAACGGCACGGCATGAAGAGGCTGTTCACCCATACACACCAGGTCAACACCAATACCTGCACACAGCAAAGAAATGTTAAAGAGGGTCCTTGGGAACCAACAGCTTTCCTTAAAAAAAAAATCAGAGAAAGCAAAGGTTCTCTATTCTTGGTCTGATGGAGTCCAAATATTGTTTCATACAGACAAAGGGGGATGTGAATGAAAGAGGCAGCAGCATAGTCTCTCATTCTCTGTGATGTAAAAATGCTGTAATGGTGCTCTGTACCCATGTTATCAATTTTGGTCTCAGAAACACACAGTTATACCCTGGACAACTGCCTGACAGGACTTATTCCCCACAGAGAAGTCGGTAGCAGTGGCCCCTTGTACTGGCTCGACTGACCCAGGTTTGATTCCACTCTCGGGCAACTGTCTGTGTGGAGTTTGCACGTTCTCCCTGTGTCTGCGTGGGTTTCCTCCGGGTGCTCCGGTTTCCTCCCACAGTCCAAAGATGGACAGGCTAGGTAGATTGGCCACGGGAAATGCAGGGATAGAGTGGAGGGGCGGGTCTGGGTGGGATGTTCTTCAGAGGGTTGGTGTGGACTTGATGGGCTGAATGGCCTGCTTCTACACTGTAAGGATTCTGCGTTCTGGAGGCCAGGTTGGTGAGATCCTGAGAACAGCTCAATACAATCAAGTTGGAGGAGGCATGTTGGGGATTAAAGTGGATGGTTTCTGAATATGACCAGGGGAATCGTGATGTGTGATTAACCTGCTCCCATTGACTGAACTTTGCACTGTTAGCCCATTGAAGTGATCATTGCATATGGTGAGTATTAATCATGTTGTTTGATGGATGCATCAGCTCAGAACCCGACTTAAATCTAGCCTGCATGTCCTAAACAGAAGATGTATTCATCCCTGCTGGAACTGTTGGTAGTCACACAGCAGTGAACCAGACTTGGCACAATAATGGGAAAGAACAGAGTCCAAGGTGTTCTGATGCTACACTTAGTGAAGGAGGTGGAAGAGTGGTGTCCTTTATCAAAAGGAAACAAGGAGACTCTCCGGGTACAGGCCCAAAAGCAACTGAGCTCAGAGAGTCAGGAAGGTCATAAGGTTGTAAGACTGTAAGGTGCAGGAGCAGAAGTTGGCCATTCAGCCCATCAAGTCTGCTCCACCATTCAGTGTGCTCAGGGGTGATCTGATAATCCTCAACTACACTTTCCTGCCTTTTCCCCATAACTCTCAATTCTCTTACTGATTAAAAAGCTACTTCAGCGTTGAATATGCCTTCTAACCCAACCTCTACGATAAAGAATTTCATAGATTCACTGCCCTCCAAGAGAAGAAATTCCTCCTCAAACTGTGTCTTAACTGAGAGAGCTCTCATTCCAAGATTGTGCCCTCTGGTCTGTGACTCTGCTATAATGGGAAACAACCTCTCTGCATCTAACCCTGTCAAGTCTCTGAAGAATCCTGCATTTTTCAACAGGGTCACCTCTCATTTTCTAATGAGTACAGGCCCAAACTTCTCAATCTCTCCTCATTAGACAGTCACTTGATACCTGGTGTCAATCTAGCAAATCTTCTCGAGACTGCCTCCAATGCCAGTATATCTTCCCTTAGATAAGGGGCCCAAGGCTGTTTGCAGTTTTCCAGCTGTGGGTCTGATGAGTGTCTTGTTTAGTTTTAGCAAGACCTCCTGCTATTTATAAAGAACTTACAAAATTATCTAGCTTCTCTCACTTTGTAAAAGTATAGAAACTAACCCAAGAAGTGTCTGGGTCACTCAGGTCAGACTTCCATGTTGACATTCCAAGGGAAACTTGCGATTTATGCATGTGTTCAGAAACAGCCAGGAGATGTGAGTGGTATCATGCAAACAGACCTAGAGCTGGTAGGTGATCATTTCGTATCCTGTATTAATTGGCAGAAAGGTTCAAACAACTGACTGACATAGTGCAGAAATAAAATACTTCTTTAAGAAATGCTCACACAGTGGGGGGAGTTGGGGGAGGGTGGGTAGATGTTGGCATCCTTATCAAATGGGGCCTCTCTCCAGGCAGCAGCCTTCTTCAGATAGTAGATGAACTAGATAGGAAGAGGAAGGCCTAGGGAAAAGTTCCCTAACACTGTGGCTGGAGAGACTGACATACACTATGGCATTCATCCATCGTCTGCTATCAGTAAACTGCCCTTAATTTGCACAAGTCACATGCATGAGTTAATTTGACAGAGGAAAAAAATCATATCTAAACTGCTGTTGCTGAATAAACTATCTGAAAGTTATTCACCACTGGTCGACTGTCTATCTTTGGTAACTATGGCCCCGGATCCAAAATTATATAGATTGGTGTCAGGAGTTGGATATACAAGAGTCTATGTATAATTGGCCTTCAATCTGAGAACTGAGAAGCAACAGTCTTAGACAGATCAAATTATTTGAAGTTGTATGAAATCTTGTTCTATTTGCTGTCATCTGTAAACAAAAAGTACAGCATTCTGCTCAAAGCATAGAAGTGAGGACACAGCATGAAATCCTAACCAACCAGCAAAAAAGGGTCATCATTTCTCGGTCAGTTTCTCCAGTTCTTTGGATGCCAATCACTCGAAGCTCATGGCTGCAGGAGTTTGCAGCCACCAGCTGAGTCGCAGCAAGAAATGGCTCTTAAAAAATTTTTAGTTTATTACATAAAAGCGAAAAATACATGCACACACACGCAACAACCCCACAACGCTCACTCAGACACATAGATGCACTTTCGTGCACACTCGCACACAGTTCTACTCACACACACAGTCATATGTGCGCGCACACCCACACACACTCATATGCACATACACGCACGCACATGCACACACATACTCATGCACTTGTGTGAGTGTGCACACTTAAGTGCGCACACACGCATGCACACAAACACTCTTATGCGCACACATACACTCATACGCGTACACACACATTTGTGTATAAATTCCCCGTCCTTCTTTCCTCTGCACATCATTAAACATGACTAAACATGCCGCGTGAACAATGAAACATGGAAATATGTCGAAGCCCACCGTTGTCGATCATCCGTTGTTTGGTGAGAATCATCAGCAACCGATCAACTTCAAACACTCCCACTCCAGGCGTGATAACGACAGACATCTGGCCAGTGCGGTCGAAGTTTCTGTTTATGTAATGCTTGTCAAACACTAAAGGAGGAAAGGAAATATTTCCCATGAACATTGTAACAAATTAGACACAAAGCCTAATATGTACATCAAATTAGCTTACTTCCATTGTACTGTCCAGGCTGCCAGCAGGTAACACAACAGGTTAACTTATGGTGTTCTGTGTCCAGGAGATGAGAAGAAACTCACTAGCTCCAAGGATTGTGAACCTTTGGAGTTCTCGTGGATTCCTCACAGTTTCCTAGATTTTTGGCTTAAATCAACAGAATTTTGGTCTCTTGCAGAAACAAGGGGTACTGGAAATAGGTGAGTAAGTCTTTGATCAGCTACGATGGTCCTGAGCAGAACAGATTTGAAAGACTGTATGGTCCACGCCTGCTCTTATTTCAGATGTTCTTAAAATGTTCTCTGTCTGCCAGCTGTGAAGAGCTTGAGTTAGGTTACGAGAGGGCGAGTATGGAATTCTTGGTCTGTGGTTATATTTAGAATCATAGAATCCCCAAAGTATGGAAGGCAGGCCATTTGGTCCATTGATTCCACACCGCCCCTCTGAACAGCATCCCACCTAGACTCATCCCCCTACCTTATCCCTGTAACTTTCCATTTCCCATGGCTAACCCACCTAACCTGCACATCTTTAGGCTGTGGGAGGAAACCGGAGCACCCGGAGGAAACCCACGCAGACACGGACAGAATGTGCAAACTCCACATAGACAGTCGCTCAAGGCTGTATTTGAACCCAGGTCCCTGGCACTGTGAGGCCACAGTGCTAACCTCTGAGCCACAGTGCCACCTTTACTTGACAAGATACTGTGTGCTTTAGAGACAGTAAGGAAGCCAGAATCAATAAATGTGGAGCTGAAAAAGCACAGCCGGCCAAAAGTCCTGAACGAAGGGTTTCAGCCCAAAACATTGACTTTCCTGCTCCTTGGATGCTATCTGACTGGCTGTGCTTTTCCAGCTCCACGTTTATTGACCATGTGGTTTAGCTGTTGCCTTCTGTTGTGACTAATCAGGAATCTCTCCCACTCTTTCCGTCTGCTACTGGCATGTGTTTGAAAGATTTATCAGTGGATAACTCAACCGGTTTGGCCATAATATGAACTCACCTTCCTTGGCCATCAAGTCCCCAAGAGGGACTGGAACCTGAAGGTTTTAATTCAGAGGCTGGAATAGTACTCACGACACCACAAAACCTCCCATCCTGGTCGATCACAGAAAGTGGAAGTCTGTCTTTGCTGCATATACTATCACAGCAATTCCTCACTCTTGCTCCCAGAAGAATGAACCCAACTAAGATTCCATCGCATCCAAGATTAACTCTTGTCCATATGCTCAATTTAAGGCTAGAGCAAATGCTTTGGTATAGTTATGCAATACATCATCACAGATAGATGGAGAATATATCAAGCTTTATCATTATCCTTCTGTCTTCTCTCCAATTCATATTGAATACAGCTCTCTGTACATTGGCAGTATCTCACACAAGCTGTGACAGAGCATGTGGGACAGTTCTTTAACACCAAGGACCAGGAAACAATAGGAATTAGACTTGCTCCATTTACACTTTCTAGTGGAAGACACTACACAGTGATGTCAAGGCACCACTGTCTTACCAGGAAATTGAGCATGGCCAAACACTCTGGAACTCTGGGATTGTTCACCATGTCAGGTAAAGGACACAGCTGACAAGCTGGTCATTTCCCTTGTTTAAATTAATCGGAGTTAAATGTGTTGGCTTTTAGGTCAAGTCGCCATAGTCTTACCAGACCATAGAGCTGCTCTTTCATTAGAGAGAGATGCCTGGTGGTGGTTTAACCTGAGGGCCACCATACCTCAGCCAAGGGGAGAGGTTGAGAAGGAGAGCCCTTCATAGTAACCTAAGCAGGTGATGGGAATTGAACCCATGCTGTTGGCACAATGCTGCTTCGTAAACCGACAATCCAGCCAACTGAGCTAAACTGACCTGATCCCATTATCGGCTCATTTCTCCCTGATCAGCCCAGGATCAATGAAATCAATTTTATGTCACTACTGTGATACTTGGGTTTCCCTAGTTTGTCGAGATTGGAGCCACAGCTGCCAATGTCTCTCAGGGAACCTATTCCATGCAGATCTGTAGACATGCACACTCACAGACACACAAATCCATACCATTGAAGGAGAGATTGATGGCCTCCAAATAGTTTCCTTGAGCTGCCGTAGAATTCTGTCCACGTGGAAAACCATCTAAGGAAGGAAGCAAAGCAGCAGATTGTACCATCAGCTAGTATTCACCCTGGTTGTTGTGCAACCTTCGGTGCTGGTGTTAACATGCAGCGAGTGGGTAAAAATCCTGCTCTCTTTTAGACTGGGATGGTGACCAGATGCTGATTTCAGAGCTGGAAAGTGAGTATAACTGGCCCTGCCGTTCCACATGTCTCAAGCTAAAGCAGAAGAGATGGATGTTGTTGCCAGTTGCTACACCACAGCACCAGCAACAAGTGTAAAGCTCCATCATCTCGACTGGATTCTTAAGGAGACTGGACAACTCCGCATGGACCAGCAATGCAGCTCCCAAACCACAACGGCCAGAAAGGAAACTCCTCAAATGTCATGCGTACAATACCAGAAGCTGTCAAATGTGTGATTAGAACAATGTCAACAGAACTCAGGGAAAAAGTGTTTTTATGTACAACTTCCCCACCCCCCCTTCACATCTTGGTTCCACTCTGTGACAGTAGTTCACCATATCAACCGCAATGTTGACTGTCAGATGTTTTGACTGGAGGACAATGTTCGTTGTCAGAAGGGCTCTTGGTTCTGTTGGAGGGTCATGGGTTTAAGCCACCCTGACCCTAGAGAATCAAACCCACTGGAGGCTGATGCTGCAGCACAGAACTGAGGGACTCAGTCTGCACTGCTGGTGGTTCTATCTTTTGGACAAGATTTTAAACAATCTGAAAGATAGGTACCTTTCCTTTGCAGAGCAGGGGTAAACTTGCCACAACTTATCTGTCAATGAGTCACAAAACAAATTATCTTAGCAGAGATATTTGTGCCATTTACAGCCACAGGTGAGGTGCCAGAGGACTGAAGGGTAGTTAATGTTGTGCTTTAATTGAGAAAGGCCGTACAGAGAAGCCTGGGCACTGTGTACCAGTAAGCCTGACATCAGCGGTGGCAAAGTTGTTGCAGGGGATTCTGAAAGATAGGATTTATATGCATTTGGAGAGGCAAGGGCTAATTAGGGATGGTCAGCATGGCTTTGTGTGTGGGAAATCATGTTTAACCAACTTGATTGAGTTTTTTGAGGACGTGACCAAAAAGATTGATGAGGGCAGAGCAGTAGACATTGTCAAATCCTTTGCTAAAGTCTGTGTAGACAAGGTTCCATGTGGTAGACTAATTAGTAAAGTTAGGTCACATGAGATTCAGGGTGAGCCTGTCAAGTGGATACAAAATTGGATTCACGATATGAGACAGAGGATGGTGGTGGAGGGCTGTTTTTTGCACTGGAGGCCTGTCACCAGCAGTGCTCCAGAGGGATCGTTATCGGATCCACTTTTGCTTCTCATTTATCTAAACAATTTGGGTGAGAGTATTGGAGGCATGGTTAGTAAAGTTTGCAGGTGACACCAAATATGGTGGTATAGTTGACAGTGAAGAAGGTTATCTAAAATTACAAAGGGCTGTTGATCAATTGGGCCAATGGGCTGAGAAGTGGCAGATGGAGTTTGATTTGGATAAATGCAAGGTCCGGCATTTTGGTAAAACAAACAAGGGCAGAACTTATACAGTTAATGGTAGGGCCCTAGGCAGCATTATTAAACAGATAGACCTAGGGTTCAGGTATATAATTCTTTGAAAGTTGCATCACCGGTAAACAGAGTGGTTAAGAAGGCGTTTGGCACACTTGCCTTCATTGCTCAGACCACTGCCTATAGGAGTTGGGACGTCATGTTGAGGTTGTACAGGATGTTGGTGAGGTCTCTTCTGGAGTATTGTCTCAGTTCTAGTCACCGTGCTGTAGGAAGGATCTTATTAAATTGGAGAGGGATCAGAAAAGATTTACCAGGATGTTGCTGGGAATGGACAGTCTGAATTATAAGGAAAGGCTGGACAGGCTGTGATTTTTTTCACTGGAACGTAAGAGGTTGAAGGGTGACCTTATTGAGGTTTACAAAATCATGAGGGGCATAGATAAGGCCAATAGCAAAGGTCTTTTCTCTGGGGTGGCAGAGTTCAAAAGTGGGGGGCATATTTTTAAGGTGAGAGGGGAAAGATTTAAAAAAGGACCTGAGGGGCAACTTCTTCACACAGAGGGTGGTTCATGTGTGGAATGAACTGCCAAAGGACGTGCAGGTACAGTGATAACATTTAGAAGACATTTGGATAAGTACATGAGTAGGAAAGGTTTAGAGGGATATGGGCCAAGTGCAGGCAAGTGGGACTCGTTTAGTATGAGAAATTTTGTCAGCAGGAATGATTTGGACCAAAGGGTCTGTTTCTGTGCTGTATGACTCTATGACTCTACCTGAACATGACCTCATTGCTGTCAGCGGGATCATGCTATGCACAAATTAGCTGCTACTGTGGGTTCTGGAGTTCTCTGATAGTCCAGCTGATTTACGAAGAGTTAGTCTGCTTGTGGACTTTAGACACATGTTGCAAGGCTCCAAGTAAATCCATCTCAAAATTAAGGTACATATCAGTCAAATAACCCAAGGTGGCCTGCTTCTGGCTAATCACAGACTAAATCAGGAGAGTAGTAGAACGTTTGAACTTCCTGCAGAAGAATATGCTAACGGCTGCACTTAGGTTTCTGATATGTATCAATGCAAACTGAGTCAGGGACCCCCTCCAAAACTGGAGGATTTAGTCCAACATAGTACTTGCAACAGCTGCCCAGTCTTACACCTGGAATGGATAGCTCACTGCATGTTGCAGAAGCCCCACGTGAACTGCATTTGGATAAACCTTTCAACAGTTTCAAGTGGATACCAACTGGCAGCACAAACGGACAGCCTCACTCGGAGGGGAAAAAAGAGTGGGGACATTTATAATCAATTGAAGTGTATACTCCATGTATGCAGCAATGTAAAGCTCCCTGAGCAATACAGCCATCCCAATGTCAGCTTAGCCATGATCCCACTGAATTAATAATCAATCTGGTATAGAATGCGTGACCTTTATTACCACTGACCAAAAGTTCCTGTGATAAGTAAGTACCTGCTTCCTGCAAACGCACCAGCACAGGATATTGAATGAATAGCTTTTTAATTGTTGTAAGCAGCGACGTCCACTCCTCCCGCCTTTCATTCTGGGCAACCACTCTGGGAAATACAACACGGTTTGGAAATCAGAAGGAACATCATTAATAAGTTCAGGTGTTGTTCTCAAACTAAGGTCATTACTAAATTTATTCATACAAAAATAGCTAAACCTCCACATGAAAATTAGCAGCAGGATCCAGTTAAAAACATAATCAGAGCGGAGGCAGTGATTAGCCAGCTACAAGGACATTGATAATACGCTCCTGCGCTGTTGTCTTCCAGCATCTGCTTTATCAAACCATTCAAACTCAGGAGTTAAACCACAATTGTTCGAGTCACTGCCAACCTTGCAGTTCACATGCGACAATGTTAAATGAATAACAAGAGTGAGTTGTGGAGCATGAGTCACTGCCCTCCTGCCTCAGGTATCGTAGCTGAGAAAGAAATGGACTGAGATTACATGAGCTTTGCTCAAAGTTTCTGTGCAACTGAAACTTCCTCTCAGAATAAACCAAGCCAGAAGGTGTCCCAGAAACACCCAAGATCAGGGAATTGGCATCAACTGGACCACACCATCAGCAGACCCTGACTGAACAACATTCGCAACACATCAAGCTACAACACATTACCTATAAAATGAATCACTCCTTGGTGTCCTCCAGGGATAGGATGCAACCCCTGAAGTATGTTCATTTAAAACAGAAATATCATTGTTGTCTCAGTATCAGTCAAACGCCCTACCTAGATCAAAATAAACAATTTCTAGACTCAATTTGAGCAGGTCTTCTCCAGCAACATAAGCAAGATTGAACATACTTTATGACGGGATCAAAATACTGCACTCTCAACACTAGGAACAAGAATGGATAAATGCGGACTAATATCACTGTGATGGAAGTCATCATTGATTCAAAGCAGCTCGCATTAATTACAAGAGAGATTTGATCAATTAGACATAGAAGTATTTAAATATAGAAAATAGGAGCAGGAGTAGGCCACTCCAGCCTGCTCTGCCATTCAATATGATCATGGCTGATCATCCAACTCAGTCTCCTGTTCCCACTTTCTCCCCAAACCTTTTGATCCCATTAAGCCAAAGAACTATATTTATCAACTTCTTAAAAACTTTCAACATTTTTGCCTCAATCGTTTTCTATGGGCAACAAATTCCAGAGACTCGCCACTCTCCGGGCAAAGAGACTGCTCCTCATCTCAGTCCTAAATGACCTATCCCATATCCTTAAACTGTGACCCTTGGTTCTGGACTCTCCCGTCATCAGGAACATGCTTTCTGTGTTTACCTTGCCATGTCATGTTAGCATTTTATAGGTTTCTGAGTTTCCCTCAATTTTTCTAAACTCCAATGAATATGGTCTGAACTGATCCCGTTTGTATTCATACATCGGTCCTGCCATCTCAGGAATCAGTCTGGTAAACTTTGCTGCACTCCCTCCATCGCCAGAACATCATTCCTCAGACAAGGGGGTCAGCGTGGACTCCATGGACTGAATGGCCTACATCCACACTGTAGGGATTCTATTCTGCGTAACTAAAACTTTCTCTCAGAATAAACCAAGCCACAAGGTGACCCAGAAACACTCAAGATCACGGAACTGACATCAACTGAACCACCAACATGCCAGTTGCCTCTTTCATCACCTGCTTACTTTCAGTGAGTGGTATACAAGGATATCAGGTCTCATTGAGGACGGAATGCACTTAAAGAGGTTTGAGGTGAAGTTCAACACACCGTTAAGCGTGTGCCACTACCGGTTACAACTTGGTCACAATATCCACATAGCACAGGGAGTGCTTAGGGACATGTATGAAGAGATGAAAAAGGCAACAGGTTGATCAGCAAAGAAGGTGGCTCAATAAAAGCAGAGGAGGTCACCAACAACAAAAACAGTTGCACAGCCGGTGGAACACTAGCTTGAGTTGTACTGAGGGGGACTTGGAACTTCATTTACCCTCACAGCAACGTTATAAAGTTAGAAGAAAATACCATCAAGGCCAGTTGGATAACAGCTAAACAGTTCACACCCACAATAGACTGAAAACAGAAATGTAAAGGATTTGTTGCCATTCGGTCGAATGTTCTGATGTCGGAGTCACTTCCATTCGGACACAGTTTCTTCCTGTAACTGACTCTCATTGAGGAAGTTGCACAACAAAGGAAAATCACAAACAAAACTCACTTATAAAAGTCTTCATAGAATCTGCCCTCATGATCCAGCTGAATGGAGGATCGGTGACTCTCGGGGAACTCGTCTGTAACAAAGAGATATCGCCTGTGAGCGCAGATTGTATTACACGTGAACAAACGGTGGAGGCAAGACAGAGCAGAGGGGAACCATTCAAATGGAAATGCTTTAAAAACTGGACACTGACAGTGGGCGAAGCAAACTATTGTAAAACAGAGTGGTGTAAAGATAAATGAGTGAGAAAATGCTGTTTAGAAGTTATCCAGGACAGGTATAAATCCAATAAAGAAGCAGTCCCTTTGCCAAAGAGCCGGAGGGGGTGGGGGTTGGGGAGAGAGAGAGAGAAGGTCACACAATTAAGACAGAGATGAGGAGGAATTTCTTCTCTTAAATCTGTGAAATTCTTTGCTGCAGATGGCTATTGAGGCTGGATTATTAAGTACATTCAAGGCTGACATAGACCATTTTAATCAATTAGGGAATTGTGGGTGATGGGGAAAAGGCAGGAAAGTGGAGGTGAGGATTATCAGATGAGCCATGATCTCACCGAACAGCAGCGCAAACTCGATGGACTGATTGGCCTACTTCTACTCCTATGCTATGGTCTTTTAAATAGCTAATGCAACACTGGAGAACTGTTAGAGGATAAAAATCACAATACTGAAGAGGATGGTGGGTTTGAGTTACAAAGAGAGGCTGGATAGGCTGGGACTTTTTTCACTGGAATGTAGTAGGTTGAGGGGTGAGCTTATTGAGGTTTATAAAATCATAGGGGCATGGATAGGGTGAATAGCAAGGGACAATTCCCTAAAGTGGGGGAGTTCAAAACTAGGGGGCATATTTTTAAGGTGAGAGGAGAAAGGTGAGGGCCAACTTTTTTTTAAACACAGAATACAGCGAGTGTATGGAATAAACTTCCAGAGGAAGTGGTGGATGTGGGCACAGGTACAACATTTAAAAGACATTTGGATAAGTACATGAATAGGGAAGGTTTGGAGAGATATGGGCCAATTACAGGCATGTGGGACTGTTTTAGTTTGGGAACATGGTCGGTGTGGACTAGTTGAAATGAAAGGTCTGTTTCTGTGCTGTATGACTCTATGGTAATACTGCTTATCCCCACATCCCCCCTGTCCTGCTTTCACTCACCACAGGACTGGGATCCAATGACAATACTCAGCCTCAGGTGGGGTATAAAACCACCTGCCAGTGGTGCTGTTGGGCCTCTGACTGGTCTGGGGAATGTCCAATGTTATCCAGTTAAAGGAGTGGCACTTACTGCAGCAGGCCTTGCCTCAGACAGTTGACACAGTGCTCTCCCCAGCTCTCCAGTTGACAGGAAACACCCACCCTGACCCACCCCCGTCACCTCTATTAAATACCACCCAGTGTAAGCGAGCAGGAAGGTTAGCTAATGGGCCAACATATCAGTGGTGCAAAACCTTCAAACACCAGCTGGATAAAGTGCTGATGTAACGCAAAATGGGCTGTGTCAAACCATTGTATTCTGGAGGTAAACCTAGGCTAACTTAAGAGAAGGGCATGATGAAAAACCAGGGTTTCTGACACCAAACAAAATCGTTAGGAACGTAGAAAGAGCAGCGGACAGGGAGAAAAAGGAAATGTTTTCAAAAAAATAACTCAAGGAGAACGTAAAGGTTAGGCCTTTTTTAGATTATAAAGAATAGGGAGGGGCATGCAGAGGTGAAGGAGGACATCCAGTCTGAGAGGGTGAAATTATCGAAGAGGTACTAAATAATCATTTCACGTCGGTTTTTAAAAACGGTGGTAAGCACTTGGGTGTATTACAGCAGGGAAAAGAAAAACTGTGGAAATACTGGGTTTCAAAATTGCACAGAATTTGAGGCGGATATTACATTGAGCTCTGATGGCTGCAGCCTTAACTGTGGAACAATGTCTGAGAAGAGGTGGCAGAAGCTCAGGTCACTTTTTAGAAATTGTCTCTAAATATTCACACTGTGTCATCAAAGTGTGAAACAGCCAATGTCACAGCTCTGTTCAAGAGGGATATACAGGCACAAGTGCAATATTCGCTGTGGGCATGCTTTTATAATCCATAATTCAAAATTTAATTAATGGGCTGCTGTGATGTAACTACATGGGATAATCAATGAAGGAGAGCAGAAATTTATTAAAGCTAAGGCATGATTGATAAGTATAATTGAGTTTTTTGAATAAGTGATTGATTTTCAAAAAAGCCAAAGAACTGCAGATGCTGGAAATCAGAAACATAAATCAGAAATTGCTAGGAAAGCTCAGAAGGTCTGGCAGCATCTGAGGAGAGAAATCACAGTTAACATTTCGGGTCCAGCAACCCTTCTTCAGAATTGTTCTCAGTGTCTGTAAAGGATATTGCTGGGGAAAGGGTTGTTTTTTTGCCTTTTGCTGTTTATACTACAATGTTTCTAAGCTGTCTTATAAATATCTAGTCTTTTTTTAAAGTTTTGAATGAACTTGTGTTTTTTTGTTCAAAGAATATTAGCAATCTTGTGTGAATAGGTTCAGTGACTAACCACCACAGTAACCAAACTACAAAACTAAAAATTATGATCCATCAACAACAAATTCTGAGGAAGGGTCACTGGACCCAAAACGTTAACTTTGATTTTCTCTTCACAGATGCTTCCAGATCTGCTGAGCTTTTCCAGTAACTTCTGTTTTTGTTCCTGCTTTACAGCATCTGCAGTTCTTTTGGCTTTCAGGTTTCACTCTGACATCCAACTTGTGCCACTGTTACCATCAGCTGAGATTGCAACAGATTATTGAAAGTCCACATTTAGGCCTTCCCAATTTGGCCCCAACCATGACAACGTCTACATTCAGAACACTTAACAACGTACCACCCCACCAACCTCCGGATCCAACGCATCATCCTCCGACACTTCCGCCATCTGCAATCCGACCCCATCACCAAAGACATTTCTCCCTCCCCATTCTTATCTGCTTTCTGGAGGGACCACTCTCTCCGTGACTCCCTTGTCCGCTCCACACTCCCCTCCAGCCCCACCACACCCGGCACTTTTCCCTGTAACCGCAGGAAGTGCTACACCTGCCTCCCCACCTCCCCCCTCACCCCCATCCCAGGCTCCAAGAAGACTTTCCACATCAAGCAGATGTTCACCTGCACATTTGCTAATGTGGTATACTGCATCCGCTGTTCCTGTTGTGGCCTCCTCTACATCAGGGAAACCAAGTGGAGGCTTGGGGACCGCTTTGCAGAACGCCTACGCTCGGTTCGCAATAAACAACTGCACCTCCCAGTCGCGAACCATTTCAACTCCCCCTCCCATTCCTCAGATGACATGTCCATCCTGGGCCTCCTGCAGTGCCACAACGACGGCACCCGAAGGTTGCAGGAACAGCAACTCATATTCCGCTTGGGAACCCTGCAGCCCAACGGTATCAATATGGACTTCACAAGCTTCAAAATCTACCCTCCCCGACCGCATCCCAAAACCAGCCCAGCTCGTCCCCGCCTCCCTAACCTGTCCTTCCTACCACCTATCCCCTCCTCCCACCTCAAGCCCCACCCCCATCTCCTACCTACTAACCTCATCCCGCCCCCCCTTGACCTGTGCGTCCTCCCTGGACTGACCTGACCTATCTCCTCCCTCCCTCCCCACCTACACTCACCGTTACTGGCTCCATCCCCGCCTCTTTGACCTGTCTGTCTCCTCTCCCCCTATCTTCTCCTCTATCCATCTTCTATCCGCCTCCCCCTCTCTCCCTATTTATTTCAGAATCCCCTTCCCCTCCCCCATTTCTGAAGAAGGGTCTAGGCTCGAAACGTCAGCCTTCCTGCTCCTCTAATGCTGCTTGGCCTGCTGTGTTCATCCAGCTCTACACCTTGTTATCTCACATTATTGAAACTGACTGACAACATGGAACAAAAGGGTCTACCAAACAGTAGAGAGAACTGTAGAACAGGTCAGAATTGGTTGATGGTCTATCAATGCAAGTTGATCAGTGAGCCTTGGTGTTCCAGCAAGAATGACAATGGACAATGCTTTTCAGGAGGTAAAGTTTCCCATCCCACCACCTCTCAAACAGTAAGTGGGGGAGCACATCCCTGCCAATGTTAGCTGCTACACAGATATTTGGAGCTCCAGGAAGCGTTAACTGCCTAAAAACAAGGCTCTGCCCTCATTTGGGATAAACCCCATCCGCTCTTGGAGAGTTGCTGGCGAGTTTTAATGGTCCAAGCAGCACCACCAGGAGAGGTAGCCATTGCTAGAATTACAAGCAGTCCTACTCAGTAGAGTGCCAGATTTCACAAGGTCAGGTTGGTGCAGGAGGACGGGAGGGGATGACAAGTCGAAGAACAGATGTGGGGGTTGCTAGAGGTGGCGATGGCAAAGTCAGACAGGATTCAGGGCTGTTAGTGGCCTGGGCAGACTGCGTGTATGGAGGGGACGAGGGAATTACTTAAGTTGGAAAGGATGCCAGTAATGAAGGCTCCCTCACCCACTCTCGCTCAAGGCATGTGCAGGGTGATCTACTGGATCTCCACAATAGCCAAGAAACTTCCCCGCCAGCAACAATATTGTGACTGGGCAGGAAGCAGGCCCTTAGCCTCATCTGGGGCCAGGCTGGGCAGGCTGTCCTTGACCTTGCCCATCACCCCTTAAATTTTGGTCAGGCCAGGTCGTGGTGGGAGGGAGGGGAGCAGGAAGACCACCCAGGGTATTTTACAGACTCCACCCCCACCATCTAACTGATGAAGCGCCCTAAAACTCTGCCCAATGGCCTAGGAGACTGCACTCAATGCAAAGATATTGAAAGATGTGAATTGATAGAGAATTTGTTTTAGAAAACTGTGAAATTGGGTTGATAAAGGTGTACAGCATTTCAAACTGCACATCCACTGATGCAGAACACAAGTGTGGATAAATCATTACAGTATGACATTAAATTATTAGGTAAGCAGATTCAAGAGACAAGTAAACTCGATCTAGGGACACTCCAGATAATCTGGCTATTACCACAATAACAGAGATAGTTAAGGAGAGATTTATCATAAACGTTCTAAAATAGTGAAGTTTCTGCAGAGAGAATAAGAAAAGAACAAGTGCCAAGAGGGCATGAGTTACCACTGAGAAAGTGAGAAGAGGTGCAACAAGTTTATTTTCACTGCTCATTGTTGGAGTTAAATGCTTCATCACAGGGCGTGGGTTAAGGCTGAGATCCAAGCAATTTTAAGAGAAAATGGGATAAATATTTGGAATGGGAAAGATACAGTGTATAGGGACAGAGAATGGTTGCACTTTTGCACTGTTTATCCTCAAAAGGGCTGGCACTGACACGATGGGCCAAATTATCTCCTCCTCCGGAGTCGGAAGGTTTGAGCAAAAGGGAGATGCTGAATAGGCTGGGGCTTTTTTCCCCTGGACCCATGGTAGGCTGAGGGGATGACATTATAGAGGTTTATAAAATCATGATGGGCCTAGATAGCGTGAATAGCCAAGGTCTTTTTTTCTAGGGTGGGAAAGTCCAAAACTAGAGGGCACAGATTTAAGGTGAGAGGGGAAAGATTTAAAAGGGACCTTACGGGCAACTTTTTCACACAGAGGGTGGTGTGTGTATGGAATGAGCTGCCAGAGGAAGTGGTGGAGGCTGGTACAATTACGACATTTAAAAGGCATCTGGATGGGTATATGAATAGGAAGGATTTAGAGGGATATGGGCCAAATGCTGGCAAATGGGACTGGAATTATTTAAGATATCTGGTCGGCATGGGCAAATTGGACAGAAGGGTCTGTTTCCGTGCTGTACATCTCTTTTACACTATGCCACAAACTTTTGTGGTTCTATTGCTAGATGTCTCCAGACCTCAAGATTTCAACCCGATAAGGGAAGTATGAAGCGCCTCTCTACTTTTTCCTATTTCTGTCATGAGTGTCCCCTCCTCCTTGGTCTTTGATGTTGGCCGGAGCATTGCAAGAACAGCCCATCTTAAAGCAGTGTGTTTGAATCTCTAGGCGTACCCTACCAGGCAGTGGAACTTCAGAAAAACAACCTCTCCGACATTGTACACCCCTCTGTGTCAATCTGTATTTTAGTTTTACAGATCTTACAGCAAAAATCACAATCCTCTGATTCAAAAGCAAGCGTGCAATAAAACAGAGCCACGAAGATCCACAAAGCTGAAGCATGGAGCTTACTGCTGTTTAACCACAACAGTAACTTTGGACGTACAGAACTTTTCTTAAAATAAAAAGCAAAGACTGCTCCAATTTGTGACAATAACAAAAATGCAGATTTTGTAACTTTTGAAGAAATTGGCCCAAAACATCAATTATTTTCTTAATGACACTGCCAAATATAATGAACTGCAAATACAGTAGCATTAATCTAAGATTTAGGTTTCACACTGCAACAGTTTTATAGAACTGGAAGCAATTTAACTTTTGTGCTTGAATTAATTATGGATTAACTTCCAATGTTGTGACAAATTATGACCAGCAGCACCACTAGTACATGAGTTCCTGAGATAAACAACCGTTATAAATATGCAACAGGAGAAGTATTATGATGCAATCTTTGGCCGCTTCCTAACTCTGAGCCTACCACTGACAAAAAGGACCAACTTACCCATCGACTTGCCATCATAGAAAGTTCTGGAAAATAAAACCACTGTCACTTCATGGCTGCAATTTTTATCCTAAAATTAAAGGAGAGGAATAAAGTGAAATTTCAAAGTGTAGTATTAATCTGTACAGCAAGATCGTACAGGTTTGACTATTTATTCAATGCTTTCCTACCACATGATTAGATATACTCAAGGAAGAGTTGTCCCATTTCTCCATGCTATGGAATATAAGATACGGAAGTAGGAGAGGCCACTTGATCCAACTTGTCCAGTCAATATGACCACAGCTTCCATCTCATCTCCAGGCTCTCACACCATCCCTAAATTCCTCATTTCCCTCAGTATCCAAAAGTCCATCACTCTCCGTTTTGAATCTATTCAACACCTGAACACCCACAGCTCTCTGGGGAAAAGGATGTTAGAGATGTGCAACCTTTGAAAAGGTTGACCCCCTCATTCCGAACCTGTGGTCCTAAATTCTAGGCTCTCCAGCTAAGGGGAACATCCTCACAATCTGTAACCTATCAACAGCTTTTAAACATTTTATATATGCTTCAATGAGATCACTCAGATTCTGTCAAATTCTGGAGAAATTAACTCAATTTCCTCATTATCTCTTCGCTGGACAAGTGCATCAACCCAGGAGCCAGCCTAGTGAACCTTCACTGAATTTGCTCCATGGCTAGTAATATCCTGAGTTAGGTAGCCAGACCAAACTACACGAGGTGTGCTCTCACAGATTACTCCACAATTACAGTAAAACAACTTCACCCTTCGATTCTGATCTGTTCATATTAAAGACCAAATCATTTGCTTTTCTAACTGCTTCCTGTACCTATATGGTAACCTTCCACGATTCATGTACTCAAGTCCCTATGAATGTAAAGATTTCCCATTATCTCACCATTTTAAAAAAAATTGTTTTTTTATTTTTCCGTCTGATCACTTCTCACTTGCTCATGTTACATTCCATGTGCCATATTCTCACGCACTCACCCAATCTATCCATATCCCTTTACAATTAATTTCTGACCTCCTACAGTTTCCTCTCCCAACAATGAATCATCTGTGAACATGGATATGTTACATTTCATTTCAGCTAAGCTGTTAACGTACATCTGAAGCCCAGCAATGATCATGAGGCACCCTACCACTTACAGCCTTGGAAAATAATCTGTTTAAACCTGTTGTCCATCAATCTATCATTAATGTTACTAAATAACCACCAAAACCAATGATTTTAATCAGAAAATACACTGCATACACTGGTAACCCCTTTATCATGCTCCCAGTTACAGCCTCCAAAACTTCCAACACACAAGTTGTCAAAAACTATTTCCTTTTCCTAAATCCTGGTCCATCCATGTTGATGTGACAGTCAAAAGAGCTCACTTCCTCAGGAGGCTAAGGAAATTCAACATGTCCACAAGGACTCTTATCAATTTTTATAGATCTAGCACAGAAAGCATCCTATCTGGATGCATCACAGCATGGTTTGGCAATTGATCTTCCCAAGACCACAAGAAACTACAGACAGTTGTGAACACAGCCCAATCCATCACACAAACTAGTCTTCCTTCCATGGACTCCATCTATACTTCCCACTGCGTCCAGAAAGCAACCAACATCATCAAAGGCCCCCTCCCACCCTGGTTATGCTCTCTTCCACACTCTTCCATAGGGCAGAAGGTACAAAAATTTGTATACATTTACAAATAGATTCAAGAACAGCTTCTTCCCTGTTGTTATTAGACTTCCAAATAGACCTCTCAAATTTTAAATTTAATGTTGATCTTGCTCTCTGTGTGCCTTCTCTGCAGCTGTAACATTGTATTCCTCTCTCTGTTCTATTACCTTAATGCGCTTTGTATGGTATGATCTGTCCGTATTGCACACAAAACAAAACTTTTCACTGTACCTAGGTACATGTGACAATAATAAGTCAAATCAAATCAAATCCTATGCTTATTCTGTGTAATCTTATGTTATAATGTCTTAGAAAACAAATTCCTGCATTTTCCTTATCATGATGTTAGGCTGTAGATCGGGTGTACAGATCCCTGTTTCCTTTCTCATGGCATGAAGTTGTGTTTGCTATCCTCCAATCCATAGGACTGTTCTAGAACCTCAGGTATTCTGTAACATCCAAACCAATGCTGGACAAGCCTCTTCCAAAAACTGAGGATGCAGGCAATCAGATCCAGAACAACTTGAAGAACCATCAATTTCTCCCTTTAATGATAACACTGAATACATTTAAGGAGGAGGTAGACAGAGTTTTAATTAGTAATGGCTTAAAGGATCAGTGGGCAGGAAAGTGTGGTTGAAGCCGAGTTGAGATCAGCCATGATTGCATTAAATGATGCAGCAGGCTTGAGGGGCTGCCTACTCCTAATCCTAGTTCTTATGCACAACACCTCAAAGTTTCACATTTCCACTGCACCTTTAGTTCCCCATTAAAAGAACCTTTAGTAAATTAATGAAAAGTCATTGACCAAAAACGTTAACTCTTTCTTCCTTCACAGATCCTGTCTGACTTACTGAGCATTTAAAATATTCTACCTTTATTTCACATTTCCTGTAGCATTTTGATTTAGTTTCCAAATTCAGGTTGGAACAGGGCCACAGCAACTTAACACGTCGACAAAATGGTGGGTTGTTGAAACTGTTGTCTCAGATACAAATGTAGGACGATGCTTCATAGAATCCTCACAGTGTGGAAGCAGGCCATATGGCCCATCGTGTCTGTACCGACCCTCTGCAGGCATCCTACCCAGACCCAGCCCACTACCCTGTAACCCCACATTTCCCCTGGCTTATCCACCTAACCAGCACATCCCTGGACACTATGGGCAATTTAGCACGGCCAATCCACCTAACCTGCACGTTTCTGGGCTGTGGGAGATACCATATAGAGACTGAGCATATCCCAGCAACTCAAAACCATCCTAAGATGCTGAAGGAGACCTGGGAAGAGACAGCAGTGAAGAACGGATTTCCCATTTAGATTTAGATTTTATTGTCAGGTGTACTGAAGTATAGAAGTACAAGAATTCAGTGAAAAGTGTATAATGTCACCACATCTCAGGTACAAAGGTACCAAGGTACAAGAGACTTAGGTAGAAAGTATAAAAGAAACAGACCTAAAAAGTTAAGCATTACTCAAGGAGAAAAATAAAGAAATAAGGCAATAGGTAACATTAAAGTCTTTCTCAATTTAAACTAGGAAAATAAAAGGAAATAGTTACATCTGTCATATTAGCAACTGGAACACTATTTCCTTAAGGGAGGATATAATCAGGCCCTACAGCACTAAACTCTAACCCTCAACACTGAGACACACATTAAGAATGTTCGTTGAGGTGAGTAGGAGAAAGTAGATATCAGGTAGTTGGTGACATTATAGAACTATAGCTCAACACCCAATTCCAGGAAAGCAGAACAGGAAAAAAAAAAGAAAATTCAAAGGTCTGACAAGAATATAGTGAACTATTAATAACATATGTTGTGAATTTGGTATCAGTTACCTAATACTGTACATAGGTATTGTACAAAAACACGGACATGTTGTACATGCAAAACTGACTCCATCTTTCACATGCAGATATATTTCATGCTTTGCTCCCGCTGTAATTTTTTACCTTCCATTTGGCGAAGAGGTCAGCAAGGAAACCATTTACAGCCTTCTCGAAGTACAAATCACCTAAATGAGAAAGAAATATGTAAGGTGGTACAGAAAACCAAAACATTAGAAGAAACATCTGCAATCTTCTCACTTCCCTTTCTCAGTCCCTACAGGAAGCTGTAAAGTTCCAAGTGGAACTACTTCTTCCTTTCCATTCTCATCGGTCTAGGGCTCAATAACTTTGCGGTCAGTGCATCAAATCCAACCCACAACCTGACAGGGTTCTACTCAGTCTGCGATTGTGAGAACACTTCAAAACAAAAACTGAGGCAGATGATAAACTATCCAAATGCAAGATATTATCCTGTAATAATTTGCCTACGTGACAAAAACAAAGTTAAATCCAATTAATAAGGAGTATTATAAATATCTAAATTTCTACCAAATGAGTAAGGGGTATCAGCTCATGTCTTCTTGCATTATACCAATACAGAAAAAGTAAGGAAAAAGCTTCACATTCAGGCTAAATTACAGTGAAAATGCAGGAGACATTGCCAGTACTCATCAGAAAGGATTTTTAAAAGCCTGCTCTTGTATGGGATACAAGTGTTACTGACCAGACTAGCATATATTGCCCAGGAGCAGGCCATTCGGCCCTTTGAACACACTCCGTTAATCTTTCTGATCATGGCCGATTCCTCATCTCAACACTAAATCCCTGCTTTCTCTCCATACCTCTGATGCCTTTTAAAAAATGATCAATGTCTTTCTTGAATATACTCATCGATCTGGCACCCACAGCCTTCTGTGGCAATGAATTGCGCAGGTTAACCAATCTGAGTGAAGAAATGTTGCCTCCTCTATGGCCTATTCCGTATCGTGAGACCATGTTCCCTGGTTCTAGACTCTCCAACCTGGGGAAGCACCCTCTCAGCATCTAGATCTTCCATCCCTGTTAGAATTTTATACATTTCAATCAGAGAGTCATACAGCATGGAAACAGGCCCTTCAACCCAACTCTTCCGTGCTGACCAGGTTTCCTAAACTGAACTAGTCCCATTTGCCTACATTTGGCCCACAATCCTCTCAACCTTTAAAATCGATGGTCCTATTACTGAGAGTTCAATTTCAGAAGTAATGAACAAGATTTAAATTCCACCAGACGCAGTGGCAGGATTTTCTCACAGCTTTAGTCTGGACCTCTGGATTACTGGTCCAGTGACAACATCTCTACCTATTTTCAGGAATACCTAATAGAAACATTTATTCTTTAAGAACAAGAAATAATATCAGTTCAGTTCATATTTTGAGTAAATGTTGGCTAAGTATCCTAGAGTTGCTAGTTCTGAAGAAAGGTCACTGGACCCGAAACATTAACTCTGATTTCTCTCTACAAATGCTGCCAGACCTGTTGAGTCTTTCCACCAATTTCTGCTTTTGTTTTTGCTTCTGGTTTCCAGCATCTGCAGTCATAGAGTCAAAGAGACATACAGCAGCGAAACAGAACCTTTAATCCGACCAGTCCATGCCGAGCATAATCCCATACTAAACCAGTCCCACCTGCCTGCACTCGGCCCATATCCCTCCAAACATTTTTTATTCCTGTACTTACCTAAAACCTAAAAATTTGACTTTTAAACATTGTAACTGTGCCCACATCAACCACTTCCTTCAGAAATTCATTCCACACACAAACCACTCTCTGCGTAAAAAAAATTGCCCCTCATGTCTTTTTTAAATCTTTTTACTCTCACCTTAAAAATAGGCCTCCTAGTCTTGAAATCCCCAACCTAGGGAAAAGACACCTAACATTCACCTTTTCTATACCCCTCATGATTTTATAAACCTCCATAAGGTCACTTCTCAACCTCCTGTGCTCCAGTGAAAGAAGTCCCAGCTTATTCAGCCTCTCCTTAGAACTCAAAGCCTACATTCCCAGCAACATCCTGGTAAATCTCTTCTGACCCCTCTGCAGTTTAATATTATCCTTCCTCTAACAGGGCGAGGATTTGGCCTCACCATTGTCTTTCAGTGTTTTGTTAGGTTTTCTCTCGCTGTCTCTCTGACACACACACACACAGACACCACACCACACTCATTCCCCAACACCACCAAACCCTACACCCCGCAACCCAACCCCACCCCACCCCCAGCACCTTACCCAAGCTGTCAGTACAGCCAGTAAAAAAACATGACAAGTAAAAACCTCCCCCATCGGAATAAAGAACATGTGAAATCCTTGGTTCCCTGATTAAATAAATACAGCATCGAAAATACACAGCCAGTGAACATGCCTGTTCACTGTTGCTACATTTCTTTCAGTGCAGTAATACACTGCACAACTTAATTTGAAATCATCTTACCATAGATGTCAAAGTCCCACATCTCACAGCTCATCTGGATGAAAATATAGACCATGGCAGAGGTCGATCGGAATACCACCTATAGAAAAACACCAATCATGTTATGCACAATGTAATCATTTCCTGTTTTCTGAACCTCCTCCTGAATATCACCATCCACAAACTCTGGACTCAAAACAATCCGTCCCCACCATTATATATCTCAAGTGTGAAATCGCCTGCATTCAGTTTCAATACTCACACCTGCTAAACTTGCCACTGACCTCAATCCTGTTCCGTTAGACCTGTCCTTTATTTATCTCCCTTTGGAGAAGCTGATTAGGCTGGGACTATTTTGCCTGGAGGGTCAGAGGCTGAGAGGTGATCTTATAGAGGTTCATAAAATCATGGATAGGGTGAATAGCCAAGTTCTTTTCCCCAGGGTAGGCCAGTCAAAAACTAGAGGACATAGGTTTGAGGTGTGAGGGGCAAGATTTAAAAGGAACCTAAGAGGCAACTTTTTCACACATAACGTGGTGTAGGTATAGCATGAATTGCCAGATTTGTGGTGGAGGCTGGTACAATAACGACATTTAAAAGGCATCTGGATGGGTACACAAACAGGAAAGGGTTTAGAGGGATATGGGCCAATACCAACAAATGGGACTGAATTTATTTGGGATATCTGGTTGGAATGAACGAGTTGGACCGAAGGGTCTGATTCCGTGCTGTATGTCTCTGTATTGCGGGCTCTTTTCTCACCCTCAAGCAAGATCTCATGGCAGAAGCAAGAGCAAGTCCTGTTAATGTCCTTAGGCATGGAGGCTTTTCTGAAAATGGTAAGACTTTGGTCGAGGTCATAAGAACACAAACAAAAAGGAGCAGGAGTAGGCCATTCGGCCCCTCATGACAGCTTTTTCATTCGATAAAATCATGGCCGATCTGTCCCAGGCCTCAACTCCCCTTTCTGCCAGCTTCTCATAGTCCTCAACTCCTTGGTATTGTAACAACCTGTCCAGCTCTTCTTTAAATACTTTGCGATCCAGCCTCCACAAGTCTCTGGGTAGAGAATTCCAGACACTCATGATCCTCCGAAAGATATTTAGAAAGGGAGAGAGAGGTCAAAGTGAACATAGGCCGCTTAGAAAAAGAACCTGGGGAGATTATTATGGGGAACAAGGAAATAGCAGAGTGAAACAGATATTTTGCATCAGTCTTTACGGTAGAAGATACCTCGAACATTCCATTAATACAAAAGAATATAGGGGAGGAAGCACTATCACCACCACTAGAGAATTAGTACAGCTGTATTAGAAAAATTAATGGGGCTAAAGACATGCAAGGCCCCTGGCTCTGATGGCTTACTCCTACGATTCTAAAAGAGGTAGCTCCAGTGATAACGGATGCATTGGTTGTAATTTTCCAAACATCCCTCGATTCTGGAGGAGTACCAGAGAATGGGAAAACGGATAATGTGGCATCCCTATTCAAAAAGGGAGGGAGGCAAAATGCAAGTAACTATAGACCGATGAGCCTAATATCCATTGTTGGAAAAGTATGAGAATCAATTATTAAGGAAGTAATAGCAAAACATTTGGAAAATCGTAATCTAATCAGAGTTGGCATGGCTTCATGAAAGGGAAATAGTGCCTGACTAATTTATTAGAGTTGTCTTAGGAAGTCTCAACTAGAGTAGATAGAGAGAAACCAGCTGATGTGTTGTATTTGAAATCCAGAAAGTGTTCAACAAGGCACCTCACAAAAAGTTGTCAGAACTCACAGGTGTTGGAGGTAATATATTGGCGTGGATAGAGAATTGGCTCATGGGCAGGAAACCGCGAGTTTTTTGGGCAACCTGTAACCAGTGGGGTACCACAGGGATCAGTGCTGGGACTGCAGCTGTTTACAATATATATCAATGAGTTGGAGGAAGGAAGTGAATGTACTGTAGTCAAATTTGCAAAAGACACAAAAGTAGGTGGAAAGGCAAGTTGTAAAGGGGATGTAAACATAGAAACGTAGACAAATTATAGAAAGATAAAAGTTGGCAAATGTAATATAATGTGGGAAAATATGAAGTTGTCCATTTTGGAAAGGAGAACAAAAGAATAGAATATTACTTAAATGGAGAAAATCTGCAGAAAGCTGCAACACAAAGGGACAAAGCACAAAACACAGAAAGATAGCACACAGGGGCAGCAGGGAACCAGGAAGTCTAATGGAATGTGAGGCCTTATTTCAAGGGGGTTGGAGTATAAAAACAGGGAAGTCTTACTGCAACTGTACAAGGTGCTGGTGAGATCACATCTGGAGTACTGTAAGCAGTTTTGGCCTCCTTATTTACAAAAATAGATTGTTTCATTGGAGACAGTTCAGAGAAAGTTCATCAAGATGATGCCCGGTAAGGAGGGATTATTTTACAAGCAAAAGTTAAACAGGTTGGGACACTACTCACTGGAGTTTAGATCAAGCAGGAATCTCAAAGAGATCATCTTCAAGGGGCTTGTCAGGGTAAATGCTGAGAGGAAGATTCCCCTCACGGGAGAGTCTAAGACCAGCGGGTGTAGTCTCAGAATTAAGGGGCGCACATTTAAGACTGCGATGAGGACAAATTTCTTCTCTCAGACGGTTGAGAGTCTCTGGAACTCCTTGCCACAGAAAGCTGTGGGAACAGAGTCCTTGAGTATATTTAAGGCAGAGATTGATAGATTCTTGATCAGTGAGGAACCAAGTGTTGCAGGGAAAGGGCAGGAAAATGGATGTGAGGAATATCAGACCAACCATGATCCTACTGAATGGAGCAGGCTCAAGGAGCCGAACGGCCTACTCCTGTTCCTTTCTCGAATGGTCTTATAGGAGAAATTCCTTTGCATTCAGTATTAATTATAGTTTAATCAGCTTGCAACGTCAACTACTCGGTAAACAGTGGGCGAGAAAAGGTAGTACGGTCTAATGTGTAGTTCCCCAGAGGCTCAGTAGCTGAACATACCACATGGTGTAACAGTGAACCACCACAGACCAGATTTATCACAGATTCACATAATGGCTACAGCCCACCAGGCGATTCAGCCTATCAGGTCTATAGTAGCTCTCTGCAAGAGTAATTCACTTAGGCCCAATCACCCTTCCAGATTAATCTGCTAAAAGTCTTGATTGAATGGACCTCTTAACCACACACTGTAAAAGTGTTTTCCTGTCACCACTGCCACTTTTAGCAATCCCTGAAATCAATGTCCTATGGCTTGCAATCTTCTTCTTATCTTCTCTGTCCAGCCCCTTCAGTATTTTGAACACTTCTATCAAATCTCCTCAATCTTCCCCAAGGAGAACAGCCTCACCTTCTCAAATCTACTCATGGGACTGAAATTCCTCAGCACTGGAACCATTCTGGTAATTTCTTCTGCATCCTGATGAATGCTTTCACATTCTCCTCAAGTGTGGTGCTCACATCTGGGATGCTGTATAATTTATTAGTGGCTTTCTATTTCTGCCATGCTACCTTCAATGATTTGTATACATATACCCCAGGTCTCTCCTGCACCCCTTTTTGAATTATACCCTTCATTTATTTTTAATGTCACTGCCTCATTTTCCCTATCAAAATAAGATAACTTCATAGAATCCCTACAGTGTGGAAGTAGGCCATTCCGCCCATTGAGCCCACACTGACCTTCCAAAGAGCATCCCACCCAGAACCACCCGCTACCCTATCCCTGCATTTCCCACGCTAGACACTATGGACAATTTAACATGGCTAATCCATCTAACCTGCACATCTTTGGACTGTGGGAGGAAACCGCAGCACCTGGAGGAAACCCACACAGACATGGGGAGAATGTGCAAACCCCAAACAGACAGTCGCCTGAGGTCGGAATCGAACCCGGGCCCCTGGTTATATGAGGCAGGAGTGCTAACCACTGAGCCACCGTGCTGCCCCCAACCTTCTTCACATGAAATTTCATCTGCCACTTGCCTGCCCAACCCATCAGCATATCTGCCTTCTTTTGAAGTTCTACATTAGTTTTCTCAGTGTTTCAACGTTTTGTGCAATACACAGATTTTGAAATTGTGCCTCTATACTCAAGTGTACGTTGTTAATACTGCAATGTCTGTGACACCAACACTCTGATGACGAATTCTGACTGCACATGCTCACCTCTGACTGTTTCTTTTTAAATAAAAATACTCCAGCATACTATAAAGCCAATTTAAAAATAAAACTTATTAAAAATTTCAACTTTAGTTAATAGCTTTTTTTTCTCTTCACCTATACATTTTTCAGAGAGTCATAGAGATGCACAGCACAGAATCAGAACCTTCGGTCCAACTTGTCCATGCTGACCAGTTAACTTCAACTAATCCAGTCCCATTTGCCAGCATTTGGCCCATATCCCTCTGAACCCTTCCTATTCATATACACATCCAGATGCCTTTTAAATATTGTAATTGTACCAGCCTCCACCACTTCCTCTGGCAGCTCATTCCATACATGCACCACCCTCTGCATGAAAAAAGTTGCCCCCAAATCTTTCCCCTCTCACCTTAATCCAATGCCCTCTAGTTTTGGACTCCCCATCTTGGGGAAAAGACCTCGACTATTTACCCTATCCATGCCCCTCATGATTTTATAAACCTCTATAAGGTCACCCCTCAGCCTCTGACATACCAGGGAAAGTAGCCCCAGCCTGTTCAGCCTCTACCTATAGTTCAAACCCTCCAAACCTGCCAACATCCTTGTAAATCTTTTCTGAACCTTTTCAACTTTAACAACACTCACTCACTCTTTTTCATTGTAAGGGTTTATTATGTTTTCATCATTCCTCATTTCAATGTATTTCAGAAATTTCACTGCTGCAATGCATGCTCCAGAGTGTCAGCAAATGCTGCCCAGTAATACAAAGCAGATCTCTTAACTCCAACTCCTGGGAACCCTGATATAACCCTTCCTCTGGTCTGTAAAAATATTAGTGTTTTTGCCACTCAGCTAATTTCGTATCCATGCTGCTACAGTCCTGTCCCTTTTATTCCATGATCTCAAACTTTGCTGACAGGTTGGTTAACTGGGACCTTTACCCTGGAGCATTGGAGACTGAAGGGTGACCTTGTACAGCTCTATAAAATCATGACAGGCATAGATAAGGTAGATAGCCGACAGCTTTTCCCCAGAGGTAGAGGAGTCTAAAACTAGAGGGCATAGGGTTTAAGGTGAGAGGGGAGAGATACAAAAGGGTTCAGAACGGGAACCTTTTCCACACAGAGGATGGTGGGTGTCTGGAATGGGCTGCCAGAGGTAGTGGTGGAAGCAAGTAAAATTTTGTCATTTAAGAAACATTTGGATAGGTATGGAGGGATTATGCATCAAACACAGGCAGACAGGACTGGATTTATTGTGAAAACTGGGTGGCATGGACAAGCTGGGCCGAAGGGCCTGTTTCCATGCTGTAAACCACTGTGACTCCAAACCTATTGTGTGGCATTTTATCAAATGCTTTTAGGAAGTCTATACACCACATTGCCCTCAACAACTCTCTCGGTTATCACATCAAAAAAAATACAAGCAAGCTATTTGAACATGATTTTCCATTAAGTAATCTCTGCTGGCTTTCCTTAATTAATCCATATTTATCCAAGTAACTATCAGGAAGGAAATCCAAAGTCCATGCAGAGCCTTGTCTATGTGTGACTTCAGTCCCACAGCACTACATTCAACTCTCGACTGTCTGCTGTGGGGCCCAGCATGTCACTCAGTTGTGTTTAACCTTATATCATTTGCACGGCATCCCGGCGCTACTTTCTCCCAGCAAATAAGAATAGACAATAATTTCTAGACTTGCGTGAGATGTCCACACCCTAAAACCAAATATTAAGATGTGCAAGATGATGGGAGATTTTGACGGAAGATTTCAGAGCCCACGGGAAGGCTAATGTCACATGGGATCACAGGTAAATTCTTACCCTTGTATCTTCACTTATGTAGCCACAGGTAACCTTTTCACCTTTGACCCATAGTTCACTTGCTTGTGCTCTGAAATAAATAAACAAACATCTTGAATCAGTAAGAGAGAGATCTGGTGTCTAGAATGCAAGAGGATCCTTGAATCCAGCACCTCTGGTATCCCACATGAATCTATCCCTGGACTCCCCTCTATTTCTCATCAACATGCTGCCCCTCAGTGGCATTACCTGGGCACACATTTGGCATCATATGTCGATGTCCATATCTACCTCACCACTTCTTGTAACTCCACCGTTGTACAGAAAATAGCAGTCTGCTTGTCCAACATCCAATAATGTATGAGCAGAAGCATCCCCCAAGTAAATACTGGAAAGACTGGAGACACCATCTTCAGTTCCTACCATAGGCTTATAGCCACTGTCACTACCCTTCATCCAGGCTGAGTGTGAGACACGCCTGGTGTCATATTTGGCTTAGCGATATGTTTCTGATCACAGACGTAAGTAAATATGTAAGGTCCCAACAGTCTTTCATTGGAGAGAAACACAAACTGGTGGTGAGCTTAACCTGAGGGTCACCATACCACAGGCAAGGGGAGAGATCGAGAAGGAAAGTCCTTCATGATAACTGGGGTGGGCATTGAACACGTGCTGTTCACCTCACTTTGCATCACAAACCAACCATCCAGCCAACTGAGCTAACGGACCTGTATACAAACAGGAAGGTCACCTATTTCCACCTCCGTTACTCTGCCCTACTTTATAAACCTGAAAATGATTGAGAATTTAACAAAGGCAACTTGACAATATGTGGTCAATGGGCTTTAAAACAAATTGTGAATTGCAGTAGACCTTTCATTTCTATACTGCAAATTCATTCCAGCATATCATAAAGATTTGTAGACTGGAGTATTCATAATTGTGTAATGCTTCTAATATTTTACACTGTACAAATAGGCTATGAATTATAATTACTTGTTTATTTGCATCATCATAGTTCAGCACCTGCTGCCATGATGATCTTCCAATAAATCAACTATTTTGCTTATTTATCTAGTTGACCCTGTCCCACTGCAGTTGATCTGCTTCTGAAGCCTTCATCCAAGCTATTGTCACCCCTAGATTTCACTATTCCTATATTTGACAAGCTGGAAAACCTCCAAAATCTCATACTCTGTTACCTCGAAGTCATACAACATTCTGCTGCCTGTGTTCTGGCGAGCACTGTCCTATTCATCCACCACTTCATACCCATTGACTTACACTGGTTGCCAGTTAAGCATGCCTCGACTTTAAATAGGTCACCTTAGCTCTTGAATCTTTCCATAAACTCACTCTTCCTGAGGTCAGTCATCTGCTCCGGCTGCACATTGCAGAGGTATACACACTCCTCTAATTCACAATTTTAATCATTCCACCAATGACAGCCATGGCTTCAGTTATCCAGGCACTAAGCTCTGGCATCCGCCCTTTTATCCCCTCCCAGCTCACTGCTGAAAGCCTCAAACACTGCCTTCAAAGTGAAACCACTATTCAACTGTACTTCTCACAATTTATTATATTCTTTAGGTTTCTCACAAGGTAAGCTCTCTCTACTTTGGAGTAATCAAATGCAGACTGGGTGACAACTTTGCACTTCTGTTCAGTCCACAAGCACGGATAGGCAATGGTGATGGTATTATTGCTAGACTATTACTCTGGAGACACAAGTAATGTTTCAGGGGCCTGGGATCGAATCCTGCCATGACAGTTGGTGGAATTTGAATTCAAAAATAATCTGGAAATGAGTTTGATGATGACCTTGAATGCATTGCTGATTGTTGGGGAAAACCCATCTGGATCACTGATGTCCAAATCTGCTGGTCTGGTTTACACGTGACTCCAGATCCACAGCAATGTGGCTGACTCTTAACAATTAGCGAGAGGCAACAATTGCTGGTCCAGCCAGTGACTCCCACATCCTGTGAATAAACAATACAAAAAATTCCCTTCCTAAAGCTCTCTTTCCCTCTATCTTAGCTTCTTCCTTCAAGATACTCCATAAAATGTCTGAACATCTGCCCTAATATTTCCTTCTTGATTTTGCGTCAAATTTTGCTTTATAGCAGCCCAGAGAAGCACCTTAAGACATTTATTATGATAAAGGTGCTACATTAACACGAGCTGTTTTTGTATAAAAACACTCATCCCTTCTTGGTTCTTTGCCAATAGCTATAATTCTACTGTTGTGATCCCAGGTGACGGTAATGTGATGTGAGGTGTGTGATTTATACATACATTAGCAGTCAGTCTTAGGTATGTGACTTTAAAATAGTAGCATATGTCGGATTTTTTTTTGAATGATTAAAGGAACAATGGCAAATATCAGCGTTATGAAGGAACCTATAAAGTCCTTCAGGGAAGGACATTGCCATCCTTACCTGGTCTGGCCTACGTGTGACTTCAGACTCACAGCAAAGTGGTTGACTCTTACCTACCCTCTGGGCAATAAATGATGGTCGAGCCAGTGACGCCCTCATCCCATTAATGGATAAAAAGATATGGACTTCCTGAAATGTTAATGGAAGATTGTTTTTACTGTGGTGATTTATGACAGTGGGGTAAAAATTGGAGGTTTGGGATAACTAGGAATATTGCGTTCAGTTTTGGTCTCCCTGCCATAGGAAAGATGTTGTGAAACTTGAAAGGGTGCAGAAAAGATTTACAAGGATGTTGCTGGAATTGGAAGATTTGAGCTACAGGGAGAGGCTGAATAGGCTGGGGCTATTTTCCCCAGAGTATTGGAGGCTGAGGGGTAACCTTATAGAGGTTTATAAAATCCTGAGGAATAGCCAAGATCTTTTTCCCCAGGGTGGAGGAGTCCAAAACAAGAGGGCACAGGTTTAAGGTGAGAGGGGAAAGATATACAAGGGACAACTTTTTCACACAGAGGGTGATGTGTGTATGGAATGAGCTGCCAGAGGGAAGTGGTGGAGGCTGGTACAATTACAACATTTAAAAGGCATCTAGATGGGTATATGAACAGGAAAGGTTTGGAGGGATATGAGTCAGATGCTGGCAAATAGGACTAGATTAATTTAGGATACTTGGTTGGCATGGATGAGTTGGACCGAAGCATCTGTTTCCATGTTGTACAGCTCTATGACTCTATTTATTTTCGGTTAGAAAACCCAGAGTTTGAAAGCTTAAGCAGTTGTTTACAGGAAAACTGATGGGCGCAGAAGCAAGTTATGCCTCTCTCCTAGAAAGGAGTACTGAATAGTTCAGGGAAAAGCAATGTTACCTTCACATAACAGCTAGCATTATGAAACTTCCAAACCAGATGTGTTTAGAAATCTGCGGATGATTGAAAGCTGAGAAAGTCTAAGCTCTTAGTTTGGAGAGTACTCAAATAAGAAGACTTCACAGAAAAGAACTGAGGAAAACCAGTCAAACAGAAAGATTTGATATAGACAAGTAGTTTCTCGAGATTTGGGTCTCTATATGTGTAATGTCAGAAAGCAGAATGAGATTTTGCTTTGCTGTGTGTTTCAAGATTTTTCAAACATGGTTCTCTATTTAGACAGCTTGCTTTGTTTTATTTTGATTTTGTCTTTTCTGTAACAAGTCTGTTCTGTAGTTGAAGAAACCCTGCAGCCTTATGTGACCTTGTTTCAGTGATTGACCACTATATTAACTACAGCAAAAAAACAATCCAGGTCGATTTCATTTTGGGATCGGCTTTGTCCAATAACACTATCAGCTGGGATCATAATTTTAATACTTGACAAATGTGATCCCAGAAGGAAAGCCAGCATGTTGGATGAATTGTTTAACTTATGCAGTTGGTTACTGGTTAATCACCGAAACATTTTTATGTAAATATTCTTTAAAAACAGAACATAAGTTTAGTGCACAGAAAAATAAAGCTATATACACATGCAACATGGAAAGATCTTAACATAAAAAAACAAGTTTCTACCTGCTCCTCCACACTAGTCAATTCTAGAGATTTTTAATCCTATTTTAACTCTAAGTTTTACTTAAATGACTCCTTCCAGTTTCGTTTCCAATTGGACAATTAGACAATTCCTTTCCGAGTCCATTAGCATAAATGTTTCAAAACTCTGCCTAAATTTTCTCGGTTCCAATAATTTGATGATTTCTGTTCAAATTCTCCTGGTTTGAATACTCCATAAAATTAAAACCCTTCAGATTTGTGCCTCATTCCTTTGAACTTAAACTGATTCCCGTTGGAGCCCTTTTCCTCCCTTCTGAACGGAATTCCTGGCCCTCCTGAACTGAGGCCGTGAACCTTCTGTTCTGAAGTCAAAACTGAAATTAATGACTTTCTTGTCTGTTGTAAAGTCAGCACCATAGACATTCCATCCATTAGCCCTCTTAGGGGTTCTCCCAAGCGCTTAACTGCAGTCACATGCTTTCTTAGAAGTGATGCACTTAGGTCATTGTTTCAAATTATTTTCTGAAGTGTTCAAAAGCAAACCTTTACAGAATTGACTCTCATCCATCTGGCTCGATTCTAAAATCCAAATCAAAAGTGTACAACCTTCATCACTTTGTGCCTTCTGCTTTTTGATCCTCTGAACTGTTACAACTTCTTTGCTTATCTTTTCAAATCCCATCACAATTGTTAACACCTCTATTAAATCTGTTAGTCACTGTCATACTGTCACACAGCACGGAAACAGACCCTTTGGTCCAATCAGTACATGTTGAACATAATCCCAAACTAAACTAGTCTTACTTGCCTGCGCCTGGCCCATATCCCTCCAAACTTTTGCTATTCATGTACCTATTCAAATGTCTTTTAAATGTTGTAACTAGCTCCTCCAGTCACTCAACATAACTGAAGTCTTTCGATCCTGGCAGGATCTCTGGAAATCTGCTCTGCACCTTCACAAAAGCATTGACATCTTTAATAATGAGTGGCGTGCAGCATTAAACACAATTCTCCAGCTGAGGCCTGGCAGCAATTCGGAAATGCCACTGAGAGCGTACAAAGGCTATTAGGAACCAGCTGCAAAGGGACATGAGAGAGACATGACCCTTGCCTGCAGCGACTTCCACAGATTGCTCGAAGCCATATCAGCAGTCCAACTGTATATATTCCAGAGCATGAGGCTCCAAAATGGAGGACAAAGTAACAACTGATAATGCCACGTTCCAATGCTCCAGTCTCTCAGGATCTATATTTCTAGATTGGAAATGTAACAGAACGACAAATCTGACCTTATTCCAGCAAATTCCACCTTCTGAGTGACATAGGCACAGGTGTTAACCTGGAAGAGATACACAAGAAATGGAGTGAATTGCACATTCAAAACCCAAACTTGACAGATGGGCTTTGGTGTAGAGTGGTATTACAGGTAGAAGATCATGGCAGATTTTTTTTTTTGGGAGTTCCAGATCAGCTGTGATTGAACTGAAGAGTGGAACAAACCTGAGGAGCTGAGTCTGTCCCGAAGTGAGCAGAGATGATCTGTTTATCCACCAAACAAAGGAATTCAGAAGCAAGTTGGGGCTACAGTGATTTGGAAAATGATCTACAACTTACCAAGGTTTTCTTCAACCGCCACATATCACTGCGTCCAATGTACTGGTCCTTGAATGTAAGCTCCACCAGATCAAGAGCCACATCCTGTTATAGATGCAGACAGCAACATTTACAGTCAGGAAACAGTTGGAAATTAACACCCAGCTTCCAAAAAAAATCATTTTTTTTAAAACACAACCAGTAAGTACAGTGATAAAAACCAAAAGAACTGCGGATGCTGTAAATCAGGAACAAAAACAAAGTTGCTGGAAAAGCTCAGCAGGTCTGGCAGCATCTGTGGAGGAGAAAACAGAGTTAACGTTTCGGGTCCGGTGACCCTTCCTCATATACAGTGATATCTGGCTTACATTCACAAAACACAGGTTACCATGAAATACACACGATACTCCCAAACAATTTACTCTATGAAAGATTCAGAAGGAAACTCTACAAAACCAGACACTCTAATCAGAGCATTGTGCAGCTCTGAATGTAACAAGCTGTCTGTACCCAGCTGTAGTGGAGACACCTGTAAACCTTTTAATGTGAAATGTCACTGGGTGTTGCATCATGCATGTTTCAAAGAAAAGCTAGGGGACATATTTTGAACGTGAGAGTAGAAAGTTTTAAAAAGGACGAGGGGTAACTTTTTTTTTTTTTTTTTTAAACACAGAGTGGCTCGTGTGTGGAAAGAACTGCCAGAGGGAGTGATGTATGCAGGCACAGTTACAACATTTAAAAGACATTTGAATAAGTACATGAGTAGGAAAGGTTTGGAGGCGTGTGGGCCAAACACAGACAGGTGGGACTTACTTAGGGAAAATGGTTGGCATGGACTATTTGGACTGAAGGGTCTGTTTCGGTGCTGGATGACTCTATAAAACAGCAGCAAAGTTTCAAAATGAAAGACCGGAGACTGTCAGCCTGGACAGAGGGGATCTATTTTTTGTTTGGGATTAGTTGTAAGGAAAGAGTGTGTTCCGGATGTGAAATGAGCAATGTTCAGCAACAGCTACCTGGATCCCAATTATTTAAACTGCCGGAGGGTCTGTGTGGACTTGTTGGGCCGAATGGCCTGATCCCAAGCTGTAGGGATTCTATGATTCAACAGGTGTGTGACTGGTCTTCTATTTGTTGTATCTTGGTGAGTGGGCCAGCTGAGCAATTGGTCCTTTTATCATTATTGAATCAATAGTACAGTCTTCAATAGGCAAAAGAGACTTACAATAAAGATACGTTCCTGGGGCCTATGGTTCTAATTGTGATGCATTAAATTCCTTGCAGCTGTTGGGTTTTCCCTCCAAATATCTCACCTTGGATGCTGCAACTTGTACACTTCCTACTATTTCCTCAGGGCAAGAACGGAGGTCACACTAGGTTCATCCACAGAACTGCATGAATAGCTGGTAAACGTTACTTCCCACACTGTTTGGATATGATCACAAACTTTTTCTGTGCAGATTTTCTAATCTCCCACTGCAACTTTGACACAAAACCTATAGAAACCTAAGTAGCTGCTTACACTTGCCAGATAACATGAGGTGGCTCAGGGGTTAGCACCGCTGCCTCACAGCACCAAGGACCTAGGTTTGATTCTACCCTCAGGCAACTGTCTGCACATTCTCCCGCACATGTCTGTGTGGGTTTCCTCCGGGTGCTCCAGTTTCCTCCCACAGTCCGAAGATGCGCAGGTTAGGTGGATTGGCCATGCTAAATTGCTCAGTGTTCAGGGACGAGCAGGTTAAGTCAGTTAGTTATGGGTAATGCAGGAACAGAGTAGGGGGTGGTTCTGGATGGGATGCTCTTTGGAGGGTCAGTGTGGACTCGATGGGTCGACTGGCCTGTTTCCACACTGTAGGGATTCAATGATTCTAAGAGAACAATGTTCGGGAGGCAGGGGAATAGGTGCAGGAGATAAAAATAAAACACGTCACTCACCTTGGGATCCACAATGTTAACATAGACATCCTGGTAAGCCCGAAGTTTAAATACCTGGGCCACAGTCTGGTCCACGCTAATAGTTTCTGAGGCAAACAATGGGAATAAAATATGTGATTACATTTATTTCACATTGAGCCTCGAAAGGAATTTATTCCCCCCCTCTCCCATATACTGATGGGAAATTATTCGAAGAAAACAAAGTTGTTGCACAAGTATTTTTGCTGTCAACATAGATTCTTGGGTAACCCGGTGCTGAACCTCTGCACAGTTATGACATATCTGGGAGGGTTCGTGATTCTAGCAGTGAGGTGCAGTGAGGGAGCTGTACCTACGATAAACCAAACCAATGTCCAGGTTCGCACTCAAGCACGGGCAAAATAGAGAAGTGGGAAGAACTGTAGCTGGTAAGGCTGGAACCAGGCATACCTTCAAAATAGCAATGGAAGTCTAAGGAGAAAGGTTTACAATAATTTAGCAAAAAACAAAGTCATGGCGATCAGGCTGAAGCCGAAACGAGATAGGAGCTAAATATATCAGCATACAGGGATTTTGACAAGGATTAGGAAAGACTGCAAAGTTAATAAAAAGGAAGCTGAAGGGAGGGGTCAGACACAGAAATCTTAGATGCAGGAAGGATGTTTTTCCAGGTTGGGGAATGGTCGAGAAAGAGGAGAGATAGTCTCAGAGCCACTGGGTACGGAGATGAGGAGGAATGTCTTCATAGAGAGGATGAAGAATTTTTGGAAATTTTGAGGCCAGAGAGCTGTGGAAGCTCAATCACTGAATATGTTCCAGTCACAGATCAACTGATCTTTAGGTAAAGGTTGCAAGGGATACAGACATAGCTGGAATAGACTCGAGGGGCCGAATGGCCAATTCATGCTCCTATCTGATTACCCATGTTCCTTATCAGTATGAATGAAGCTTCGTTCTAGGGACAGATCCAAAACCAAAAGCTGTTAACTTAAACCAGCTGACTATAAGAACTCGACAGAAGAACAGATTTACTGAAAAGCATCAAAGCAGTAACGTAGGCTTTCCTCTGTCCCTCACTATCACGCAGACCCAGAGCCTATTCTTGGCCTTATTCCAGAGGTCAGAGGTATCAGGGTCACTTCAGCTTATGGCTGTTATTTGAAACCTGCCTTGGAATGGTGATTGGGCAAGTACTTAGAAGTAGCACCCACTATAGCGTAACATCCCCAAGGATCCCAACAGATAACCAAATAAACCCAGAATTGTCATTTTCAAAAAAAAGTACAAAAAGCTTAAGCCACTCAGCAGGCATCTCCCACAAAGCCCAGCTTGAACTTTTGACCAGAAACTCAACTGGACTCACCACATAAACACAGTGGCTACAAGAAGCAGGTCAGAGGCCAGGAATACCGCGGCAAGTAACTTACCTCCTGACTCCCCAAAGCCTGTCCCACCATCTACAAGGCACAAGTCAGGAGTGTGATGGAATATTCCCCAATTGCTTGGATGGGTGCAGCCCCAACAACACTCAAGAAGCTTGACACCATCCAGGACAAAGCAGCCGCTTGATTGGCACCACATCCACAAGGATCCACTCCCTCGACCACCGACGCTCAGTAGCAGCAGTGTGTACTATCTACAAGATGCACTGTAGAAATTCACCAAAGATCCTCAGACAGCACCTTCCAAACCCACAACCCCTTCCATCTAGAAGGACAAGGGCAGCAGATACATGGGAACACCACCCCATGCAAGTTCCCCTCCAAGCCACTCATCATCCTGATTTGGAAACATATCACCGTTCCTTCACTGTCGCCGGGTCACAATCCTGGAATTCCCTCCCTAATGGCATTGTGGGTCAACCTACAGTACACGGGCTGCAGCGGTTCAAGGAGGCAGCTCACCAGCACCTTTTCAAGGGCAACTGGGTAATAAATGCTGGCTCAACCAGTAATACCAAGTCCACAAGCGAATAACAAAAAAAACCCACCTCTACTTCTCTGTCCACTATGTCTGACTGGTCTGCTGCTAATTTCAGCATTTTCTGCCTTCAGTTTAGATTTCCAGCACCCAAAGAGGTCTGTTTCTGTTTTAAGTTTAGTATTTGAAGAGGAGCAGTGATTCCTACTCTTGCCTGGACTAACATTCTTCCATCAGTCAGCGCCAACAAGACTAGGCCTTCCTCTTCTTCATGGGTAAGGCACTGTGTAAAATACAACGCTTCCCTTCTGTATTGTGTCAATGTTTATCTCTCCCAGATGCAGCATTTTAAAGATGACATCTACCTTCCTTACACAACTCAGCTCTGCAACCCAAAAGTATTTTTGAGAATGGAGAAAGACTCTATCCCACGTGTGTCGATTTTTAAAAAGAAAATTCATTCATGAGATGTAAACATTGTTGGCACTTGCTGCCCATCCTAATTGCCTTTAAGAATGTGGTTGGTGAACTGATCTGACATTTCAGAAGCAACTTTAAAAGCCAACCTCATGGCTGCGGGTTTGGAATCACAACTAACCCGGTAAGATGGTAAAGATTTCCTTCCTCAATGGATGTTAGGGTGAACCAGATGAATTGTTGACTGGCGATAATTTCAAGATCAACCTTCCTGAGGTTATTAACTACATTTAAATTCCACCAGATGCCCTGGTGGGATTTGAACCCATGATCCAGAGCTTTCTCCTGAGTTTCTGGAGATCACTGATCCAGTGATACACCACCATCTGTGTTCGATTCAAACTCAGTTCTGACTTCCCAATGCCAATTTGGTGATGCGTATAAAATTAGTGAACATCTCTGTCTTAGCTTTGGTGTTTACTAATTATCTCATATCATCCTGTTTAACAGACACCTGTGAAATTCCACCCTTCCCTACCTTTCCCAGCCACTGCAGTAAACAATGCCAAATAATTCACAGGGTTACCTTTCTGCAAGTCTTCTTTCAAAGATTTCACTTGAAGAAGCAGCGGGCTGCAAATAATAGAGACAACATGCCAATGATTATGCTCCATATATAGAGATATGTATTTTGTAGCACCTTCCACACCCCCAGGCCATCTGCAGCTAATTAAATACTTTTGAAGTGTAATCATTGTTGTAATGAAGGATGCACAGCAGCCATTTATGCACAGCAAGCTCCCATAAGCAGCAATATAAATAAAGCCTACAGTAAAAACCAAAAAAGCTGCAGACGCTGTAAATCAGGAACAAAAACAGAAGTTGCTGGAAAAGCTCAGCGGGTCTGGCAGCATCTGTGAAGAAAAAAATCAGACTTAACGTTTCGGGTCCAGTGACACTTCCTCAGAACTAATGGGAAAACGTCGACTTATACGCAGAAAATAGGGAGGGGGATGGGGTAGGGAGTAAATGATAGAATACAGACCAAAGAGAGAGAAGAGCAGTTGGATAGACAAAGGAGTTGATAACGATCTGGCTGGGAGGTGACTAACAATAGGTACTATGTATAATGGCAGTCTATGTGATAACAAGGCCTGGTATGTGGGCTAAGGGGCTAGGACATGGGAGAGTTTAGGCCCTAAAATTATTGAGCTTGATATTGAGTCCAGAGGGCTGCAGGGTCCCCAAGCGGACCAGCTTGTGCTGAGGTTTGCTGGAATACTGCAGCAAGCCGGAGATAGAGATGTTGGCCAGGGAGCAGGGTGGTGCGTTAAAATGGCGAGCCACAGGTAGCTCAGGATCTTTTTTGTGAGCAGAACGTAGACGTTCTGCGAAGCAGTCGCCAAGTCTATACTTCATTTCCCCAATGTAGAGGAGACCACATTGTGAGCAGTGAATGCAGTAGACTAGATTCTTGGAGGTGCAGATAAAATGTTGCTTCACCTGGAAGGTATGTTTGGGCCCTTGGATACTGGGGACAGAGGAGGTAAATGGGCAGGTGTTACACCTTTGCCAGTTACAGGGGAAGGTGCCACGGGCTGTGTGGGGGGCGGGGGGGGAGGTGAAGGAAGTGTGGACCAGGGTGTCCCAGAGGGAACGGTCCCTGTGGAAGGTGGACAAGGGAGGGGAGGGGGAAGATGTGTCTGGTGGTGGCATCTCACTGGAGGTGGTGGAAATGGTGTCTGATGATCTTCTGGATGTCGGTACTGGTGGAACGGTAGGTGAGGATAAGGGGAACCCTATCGCTGTTGCAGTAGGGAAGAGAAGGGGTGAAGGCAGAAGTGCAGGAGATGGGTCGGACCTGGTTGAGGGCCCTGTTGACAATGGTGCTGGGGAAATGGAAACAGAGGTGTCAAGGAAGGGAAGGGAGGAGTCAGATACTGTTAAGCCGACAGTAAAACCTGGCTTGTTCAATCCTAGATACTGAACATATTCATCATAGTCTTCCAGTGGACCGCTTACAAAACGTTTATCAACCAAAAAAAAACTATATTTTTTATGAACTATATTACACTGGACAAAAGGTTGGAAAGATTTCATTACAGACATCAGAAAAAGATTCAAACTCACACAACCTCCTATTAATCTTTGAGCAATTCTTTGCTGCTTTTTATTGCGTCCAATCTTCTGATCTGCCATCTATCTTTGCATAATTATGTATTTTCTTTGCATCTGATGCGATCGTTAGTTTTTTTTTAGTTAACCAAGGATGCTGGGTCCATCCCTTGAATTTATTTATTCTGTGCATTCTGGAATATTCCCATAAATATTTGTCACAGCATCTCTATTGACCTATCCTTAAACTAAATTGCCAGTTAATTTCACTAGCCCTGCTTTCACCCTCATAATCACCCTTGTTTAAATTTAAAACAGTCGTCTTGGACTGACACTTCTCCCCTTTGTTTGCATGTACAGTTCAATCATTTTACGGTCACTACTACTCACTACAAGGTCAATAACTAATCCTATCTCATTGGTCAAAACCAGGTCCTGTACGGCCTGCTCTCTGCTTGGTGCTATAACACTGTCCAAAAAACTATTCAATTAATTTCTCTATTAGACTACATTTCCCCATCTGATTGTTCCAGTCGATATGTAGGTTGAAATCCCCCAGAACAACTGCTACACCTTTCCGACAAGCCCCCATGATTTCTTCCTTGATGCTCTGTCCTACCATGTGGACACTATTGGGAGGCATCTGTACACAACTCCCACAGGTGGCCTTTTACCTTTATCATTCTTAATCTCTACCCAGACTGTTTCTATATCCTGGTTTCCTGGATTTAGGTCATTCCTCTCTATTGTGTGAATATCATATTTAATTAATAGAGCCGCTCCTTCACCCTCTCCAGCTTCTTGTCCTTCCTAAACATCACACACCCTTCAATATTCAAGTCCTTTTCCACATCATCCTGCAGCTATATCTCAGTAATGGCCACCAGATGGAATTTATCTCAATTTGTACTTAGTTCTTGTGTTTTGCTTTGAAAGCTACATGAATTCAAATACAGTACCTTATGGTTTTGTCCTTTAATTATTGTTATAACCTCGATATTTGTTCATTTGTTCTCAGGTCTGCATTCTCTTCTGTCCCTGTCATTGTCTGTTGATCATTTCCCACATTAATTCCTTCCTCTGTTGACTTCTCCCCGCTTTTTGATTCACCACAACTTCTAAAACGTGGGCCCTTGCTCCAGCATTTAGTTTAAAACTCACTCTGCTTCCCTAGTTATGTGGTTCACAAGAACACCAGCCCCAGTATGGTTCAGGTGTAAACTGTGCCACTGGTACAGATACCACTTCCTTCAGTTTAGGTGCCAATGACCCATGAACTGGCACACACCTCTTCCACACCAGTCTTTCAGCCACGTGTTCGTCTCTGTAACCTGTTCACCCTTGGTCAATTTGCTTGTGGCTCAGGCAGTAATTCAAAGGTTATTACCTTTGAGGGTCTCTTTTTTTGAATTTGGTGCCTAGCTCCTCACACTGGCTATGCAGAGCCTCCTTCCTAGTTCTACCTATGTCATTGGTGCATACATGAGGAAGGACAACTGAATTCTCTCCCTCCCACTGCAAGTTCCTCTCCAGCCTACAATAGATATCCTGAACTCTGGCAGCAGATAGTCAGCAGAGTAGGTGCACTCATATTCTTTGCTGCAGTGTCCATCCTCCTGACAATGCAGTCCCCTACAACCAGCTGGCTCCCTCCCTCCCCAGAGGAATGGCTTCCTGTACCATGGCCAATTTGCTCCATAGTCCATAGCCATCACTCATCCAGACAAACTGAGAGAACCTCAAACCCGCTGCAGAGGCTGACACACTTGCACGACTGTCCTCTGGGTCCCTCCTTTAGCTGCCACACCCTCTTGTTCCTCTCCCCATCAGAACAGCGTGGCTCACAGGCACAGGACTGCAACCACTGTCTGCTGTATGGCAAAATTGACCTTCCTAACAGCATGTTCAGTGTCGCTGAGAAATGAAATGGGATTGAAGGAGCTGAGTAACCTCCCCACAATATCAGCCACTTTTGATGAGTCCTGATTGAGAGTAGAGTGATCCCTTTGAGTCATAGAGTAATAAAGTCATTCAGCACGGAAACAGACCCTTTGGTTCGACCAGTCCAGTCCGACCATAATCCCAAACTAAACTCATCCCACCTGCCTGCACTTAGCCCATATCCCTCCAAACCTCTCCTTTTCATGAGCTTATCCAAATGTTGTTTAAATAGTGTAACTGCACCTGCATTCACCACGTTCTCTGGCAGTTCATTCTGCACATGAACCCTTCCCTGTGTAAAATAAGTTGCCTTTCATGTCCTTTTTAAAATCTTTCTCCTCTCGCCTTAAAAGTATAACCCAGTTTTCAAATTGAACTTATCACTTTAGGGAAAAGACCCTTGCTATTCACTTTATCTATGCCCCTCAGGACTTTATAAACCTCTACAAGGTCACTCCTCAACTTCCTACATTCCAGTGAAAAGAAGTCCCAGCCTTTCCAGTTTATTTTTATACTTTAAACCCTCCATTCCCAGCAACATCCTGGTAAATCTTTTCTGAACCCTCTCCAGTTTCACAATATCCTTCCTATAGCAGGACAATCAGAATTGCATATAGTACTCAAGAACAGGTCTCACCACTGTTCTGTACAACCTCAACTTGGCGTCCCACCTACTCAAAGCTCTGAGGGAATGATGACATCTTGTTTTCCTGTTTTTAAAGTTACTTTCTCCTCCTCCTGTTCAGTTCCTTCCCTCCCTGCAAATGCATTTCACAAAAGAAACAGCCAGGCGACCCAACCCTCAGTCAATGCTGTACATCAGCGATGGGTCACCGGTCAAGACTACCCATCCTGTGACACTCCCATCTCAACCACGGTCCTTGGCAGGTCGACCCTGATGCCACTCTGGGATTAGGTGACACAAGCAGGTCGCCCTGTTATCAGAAGCATATGGTTAAACTGGAGAGAGTTCAGAAGGAATTTACCAGGATGTCGCCCAGAATGGAGGGTTTGAGATGTAAAAATAGACTGGAAAGTCTGGGACTTGTTCCACTGGAGCGTAGGAGGTTTACAAAATCAAGAGGGGCATAGAAAAGGGTAGAGACTCCTTTGAATGACAAAGGTCTTTTCCCTAGGCTCGGGGAGTTCAAAATGACAGGACATAATTTTAAGGTGAGAAGAGAAAGATTTAAAAAGGACATGAGGGGCAACTTTTTTTTTTTAAAAAACACAGACAGTGGTTCATGTATGAATTGAACTTCCAGAGGAAGTGATGGATGTGGGTACAGTTACATCATTTCAAAGACATTTGGATAAGTTCATGAATAGGAAGGGTTTGGAGGGATACAGGCCAAGTGCAGGCAGATGGGACTAGTTTGGTTTGGGATCATGGTCAGCTTGGACTGGTTGGACCAAAGGATCTGTTTCTATGCTGTATGACTCTAAGTCCAGATGCTGACATCAATAGTGCACTGAACCATGCATGTAACCTTCCAAAATTCCCGCACATCTACGTCAACTTCTCAAACTCGGTCTAATTTAGTTTAAGCAAGGCAAAAAGTGCAGAGATGTTGCTGCTCATCTAGCCAAATAGCACCAAACTGTTGTTGGCTGTTTAAAGATGTTGCAACCCTGAAGGTTAAATCACAAAAAAAAACCATTATCCTCTTGTGTTGTACAGATCTTAGGGAAGGTTCTGTGCATCACAAGAAGTAACATGCAACTAAAAGCAATTCATTGAAATGATGCTGCTGTATTTACCTGTACTCATCATTGATATATGCAATCTCCACAATATCGCCCAGCTTCACCTGAGGGAAGACTTTGGGGTTCACCATCAGTTCATAGTCTGAAGGAAACAAGATGGGAAATATGAAGATAACAACAACTTGCACTTGTATAGCAGCTTCAGGATGGTAAAACACATGCAGGTGCTTCACAGGAATACTGAGAAGCCACATTTCACACTGGATCATATGTTGAAGCAGCACCTTCCAAATCTGTGCCCTTTACCAGCTGGGAGGACAAAGGCAGCAGACACATGGGACCACTACACATCCAAGTTCCCCTCCATGATACTCACCATCCATTGGAAATATATTGCCGTTCTTTCAGGTCAAAATCCTGGAACTCTGTTTCTAAAAACATTGGGTGTGTATCTGCTCCACACAGACGACAATGATTCAAGCAGGCAGCTCATCATCACCTTCTTAAGGGAAACTACCAGTGATCCCCACATTCTGTGAAACAGCTTTTATGAAAAGGAGCACAGCTGACCAAAATCTCAGTCAAAGAGGTTAGTTTTAAGGTACATTGTAAAGAGGAAAGAAAGGGAGAGTGCCGGAGAGGTTTACAGAAGGAATTCCAATGTTAATGGCCCAGAAGTTGAAGGCTCTACATTCAATAAGACAGCAAGTAAAAACAGCAAAGGTCAAGAAGTCAGCATTGAAGGGGCACAGATCGTGGAGCGCTTTTGGGCAGAAAAGATTGTAGAGTAGGAAGGGGGCAAAGCTGTGGAGGGATTTAAAAGCAGATTTGAATTTAAAATTGACACATTACTTAACTCGGAGTCGATGTGGTCAACAAGAACAGGAGTGATGGATTATTGGGAATTAATGAGTTAAGACATAGACAGCAGAGTTTTGGGTAATCTCAAGTTTCAGGAGGGAGAAGGTGGGAGGCTAGCAGGGGGCACTTTGAAATAGTCACATCCAGCGGTTGCAAAGATTTAGACAAAGGCTTCAGCAGGAGAGAACAGAGACAAGGACAGAGTTGTGCAACATGACAGAAATGGAAACAGATAGTCTCCATGACTTGATAAGTGTGCAGTTGGCACCTCATCCAATGACACTGGGATTGCAAGCAAAATAGGAGGGTCTCAGACAACTGTCATTGAGTCATACAGCATGGAAACAGACCCTTCAGTCCAACCAGTCCATGCCAAACATAATCCCAAACTAAACTAGTCCCAGCCGCCTGTGTCCTGGCCCATATCCTTCCAAAATTTTCCTATTCATGTACTTGGTTGGAAACAGAGTTTGTAGCGTGCACTGTGTTAAAAGAGATGACCACATCTGGCATGCTGTTAGGGAGGAAGTTCCAGGATTCAGCAATGTACTTCCAAGTCAGGATGATGAGTGCCTTGGAGGGGAACTTGCAGGGGGTCGTGTTCCCATGTATCTGCTGCCCTTGTCCTTTTAGATGGAAGTGGTCAGGGGTTTGGAAGGTGCTATCTGTGGATCTTTGGTGAATTTCTGCAGCGCATCTTGTAGATGGTACACACTGCTGCTACTGAGCGTCAGTGATGCAGGGAGTGGATGTGGTACCAATCAAGCGGCTGCTTTGTCCTGGTTGGCATCAAGCTTCTTGAGTGTTGTTGAAGCTACATCCATCCGGGCAAGTGGGGAGTATTCCATCACAGTCCTGAATTCAGTTGAGTTTCTGGTCAATGGTAACCCCCAGGACGTTGAAATATCAGAT